CTGCTGAATGTGCTAATCAGGGAGAAACTACTTACTGTTACAGAAACAAACGTTTATTCGCATCCGTCTTTGATAGCCATGCTAGCTAGCTTCAGCATTCATGAGAGTGTGCAGGGAGGGGTGACTGACAGAACAAAGACCCGCCTCCTGGCTCTGATTGGTTGTTTCTTAGTTAGCGGCAGGGAAGGCAAAAGATGTTGAATTGTTGCATAGTGCAACTGTTAAAGCTTCATGTGACAGTTTACAGAAATCCCTCTGAAATGTTGACTCCAGAGTTGTTTTAGGATTGTAGAAGTCCAGTTTGGTGTTTATTTAATCAGGAAAACCTCTTTAAAAAAATAATTATGAATATCCTTTTAGAGAGCAGATGTGTCTCCACACCTGCCCAAAAACCCAGAAACTCCTCCAAACCAGACTGCTGTAAAACTGCTTACTCAGTTGGGAAGAATCCAAAGAAACGAAATCAGCACAGATGATCACAGGCGTGAAGAAGTGGGGGAAAAAATCTATGAACTATTCTACTTAGAGCATAAGGATGGCAAATGAAAAAAACACAGCAATATGGGGATTTAAAAAGATGTTCAAGGCCAAAGATCAAACCGTCTTTTGGCAACGAATACCCCTGCTGCCAAGGACAACAGTAGTTACCTTTGGATTATTAATTTCAGTGTGACGCTCCGGCAGATCGCTGCAATTCATCACCAGCACCGTGGAGATTTGTCCCACCAGCGAGGCCCGCCCCAACCCGTCCAGGTGCTGATGCAACAGGAAACGGAGACGCTACTTTAAGGCACTGTTGACTTTTCCTACGGATCTGGATCCTGATCAGTTGTGGAGAAATGCTTACAGATCTGAATTCTGGGCAAAATCCTCTGCTGCTGTTTAGGGCCAACAAAGACAGGCTCATTAAGCCCAGTTAGGGAGCCATTATGGGTTCTTAGTTTCAACGCATAGTAACGCTGGATTGGCAAATTTGCTTTTAATGAAAGAGTGCAAAGAAACCTTGGCTGTGCCGAACTGTGTGCATGTGCAGTCATGTAAATAATAATAATAATAACAACAATAATAATAAAGACAACTGCCCTGGTAGAAATTGATTTTTTGACAAACCGGGACATTAGTTGCTCTCTGAAATGGTCAGTACCGGCAACTTTAGCATATGAAACACAAAAGTAATTATTATTTTGTCGTGTCGACTTCTAAATAGGGGAGAAAACTTTAAATTTGGCCGCATGGGGATGACACAAGCGGGCAATTGGCATCTATATTGTTTATTTTGTGGCCACAATTAAAACGTTCATCCATGAATTGTCCGGTCAGGGTCAGAGCTGGCAGCTGGCAGTTGATTGGGTGAGAGGGGGCGGACACTCCGGACAGATCGCCAAACGCGAATGACAAGCAGTCACGCAGACGCACTCTGAAGACTTAAAATGGTTTTACAGACACCAGCTGACCTAAAGGTCATGGCTCTCAATCTGCACCTTTCTGTTTTAAAACAGGCAGTTGGACTGATGATTTGGGCCTGGTCGGTTTCCTATGAGGGCCAGAACAAGCTAGCAGCGCCAGGTGGGTTATGGTGTCTGAAGAAACTCGGGTTCTGCTTTCATGTCTCACAGTGGACAATGAGCTGAGCCCAAAAGCGTCGCTTTAAAGTGTCCTCAGAGTTAAGGACTAGACCACCGTGCCTCGTGTGTGAACAACATCTCAGTGTAGTCAAAACCGACAAAAACAAAAAGCTACTTTGTTCAAAAAGACCTGTTGTTGACATGTTGATGTCCAAGACTTTTATATTGAGACACTTTTTGATGTCCGATGATTTTAAAAGTTCTTGTCGCTATTAGGGCAGAACCACATTAAACACTTTAATCCCAACCTCTCCATCTTTGATTTGGGTGAATCGGCTCAGACATTTGGCCTAAACAAAACCTAATTTGGACATATAAATTGTGGGAGCCGAGGAGACGTCACACTGTGTGTGACACGGCGCCGCAAATGGAGATTTTTGTTGCTACTTCTCAATGACGACAGAAAAACTCAACACAGTTAAGTTTTAAACCGTCTTCGACATCTTATATATGCAATCATAAATTAGCGGTTTAACTGTAAACATTACCTGTTGAGTTAGTCAACCTTCACCTTTAATTGCTAGACCGCCAATCTTTCCTAAACCAGCAGCAGATCAGTGACCAATAGACTTTACAAAACAATAAGACTCGGCGAATTTGTCAGAACACATTACGCTTCCTTTCATTTGTAAAAATCTGATCTCCAGCAGCTTTCTTTCTAGAAGATTCTTTCAGGTTTTGATGCCGGAAATGACCAACTTTTAGTCCACAGTAACAACGTCCCTGAAGGCTGTAGTTATGGCCACCCGTTAGCTCTTGGAGTTAGTATGTGGAGGAACCAAAGATTTGGATACTGGTGCGTTGCAGCCAAACCTCCCAGTGAAAACATGCAAAGAGTCCTGCAATAAGAAATAGCTTGATAATAATAATAATGCAAATTAATGTTGTTGTTTTTTAATTGATTAGTGAGAAGGACAACCAACATCTTTCTCTTTGTCATGTCATTTTTGTGAAAATGTTTGTTAAAAAGATGTTTTCCTTTACCTGGTGCCTCTGTGTCCCATTAATAAAATCTAAAGTTGCAGAAGGTTTGACTGAATCAGAAAAATAGATTACGTTTGAGCTTTTCGACAGACCGATGAAAACCATTCGCTCATTTCTGGTTTATTGTTTATTAAAGCATTTCTGCTGGAACATCCTTGAACCATAGCTTTTTTTTTCTTCCCTAAAATGTTGTAAATAAATAAACAAGTAGAGTTGTTGATCATTTACCAAGAAAACTAATTCAGACAAACTCCATCCACCACTTGTCATGCTGGACTCTCTACATAACCACAGAAATTTCAACACTTCGATACCACTGGGAGAAACTCCAAATTAATATTACAAAAAAAAAAAAAATTAAAAAAGAGATAAGGTCCAAGAAAACTTTTAAGATTTTTTTTTTCAAATTAAATTTTTTTTTTAAGCTTTGAATGAACGACGTGTTCCGGCCAAAACGTGGCTGTGGTTGGCTCGCGCGCCGAGCCTAATGAGTGGAACCGAAACCCGTCAGCGGGGTTCCCGCAACCAGAACACCCGGGAACAAGCAGCTGGAAACACGTGCGACACAACCGAGTCGCGCTTCCGGTGCTCCACATAACCTCCTTTAAAACGCGTCTCGACGCCTCATCCCTCCCTGCCTCCCACGCCCGCGCGCGCGCTCCCACTCAGAAATAGACCTGTCAACGCGCCACCGTCCCTTATCGCCGAACTGTTAACAAGCCTATTTGCCTGTGACTGACGTTGACGCGATCCCTAAAGCCCCGGCTTGGCACCGCATCGCTCCTAAGCCAAATTAAGCCTCCGTCATGCCCACCCCCACCTTCAGTCTCGAGCTCGGCGCCCTCCTCCTCCACCATCACCACCACCACCAGCAGCAGCAGCAGCAGCAGCAGCCCTCGTGCCATGGGAACCCTAAATCTTTAATGACGACGGAGAGCTCCGCGCGCTCCCACGATACAAAAGCGGTGACATCTGTCTCTGTGAGTGCCGCACTCCAGAGCAACTCCATTTGTTCTCGCCTGAAAGTCCTCCGAAGAAACCAAATGCAGAAGCTGAGAGAGAGAGAGTGGAGACATCTTTCGTCCCCCAAACGCTTCAGTGCGCTAAAAGCTTTTTGTTCCGACGCTCCGACCGCAGCCCACCTGCTCACGGCTACTTCCGGCTCAGCTCGCCGGCACTTACAATTATAATGTAACCGCACCGCTGACCGTCTGATAGAGCCCCCGTGCTTTGGTTTGAGACTGGAATTGTGATGAAAATAATCGTCATAATAATCATAAAAACATCGACTTTTATGAGAGCGGGTTTGCTCAGTGCAACAAAGCAAAGCAACAAGGAAAATGATTGTGATAAACATTTTGCCCTTCCTTCGTTTTTTCCCCCCTTTTTTCTTTTTTTACGTGACATTGAAATGCTTCATATCAAACAAGAAGAAGAAATATCGCTTCGGATCGTAATCGTGATCAAGGCTTTATCACAATATTTTTGTGGTTCCATTGTGATAACGATAAAAGCCATGACAAGAACTACTCGCTTCTTTTTATATCCATTTGTAATTCGCCTCTTTAGAAAACCAGTCACATCAAGAAGTGATTTGCCTCGCAAAACTGCATGCGGCATTTAATCATGTTTTCAAATTTATTGATACTCAAAGTTAATATGTTCCCTAAAGGTTCTGAAAATCATTCATATGTTTTTTTGTTTTTGTTTTTGTTTTTTTTGGCAAGTATATTTTGTTTTTGGTCCATGCAAGCAGTTTTTGACCAGTCATTTGGAGGCCTGTGGAGTTTTAGAGGTTGTTCTGGGTTCTTCCGGGGCCCATCGGGGTCCGTTGTAGGTGTGCTCCTGGAGTTTATGCAGATGAAACGGTTGTTGAGTCATTTTAACAAAACATTAAGTCAAAAACCGCAACTCGGTTTGTTTTGGTCAGAGACAAGAGTGAAGAAGAAGCCACGCCTATCTTTACAGGAAAGAATATGATCTGGTAAAATGATGCTCAAGTTCTCTGAGCATCATTAAGAGTTTAATATCTATCTATCTATCTATCTATCTATCTATCTATCTATCTATCTATCTATCTATCTATCTATCTATCTATCTATCTATCTATCTATCTATCTATCTATCTATCTATCTATCTATCTATCTATCTATCTATCTATCTATCTATCTATCTATCTATCTATCTCTTATATATATTCTTTATCAATATTATCATATATTATTATTATTTTATTATTATTTATGTAAAGCAACCCAGAAACTAGTATTTTGAATACTTCATTCGTTTAGTTTTTTTTCTTTTCTTGTAATATTATTCCAAGTTGCGTGGTTGTGTGTCCTGTCTGTCTCTGTGTTGGTGACCTGTCCAGGTGACCCCTCCTCTCTCCGGACCGTTAGCTGGAGAGGCACCAGCACCTCCTGACCTCGCGAGAGACAAGACCAGGGTGATAGAAAATGGATGGATGGATTATTCCCAGCAGTTGGCGCCATCTTGCTCCAGTCCACTAGGCGGCGGCAAAACGCTGGAAAAAAACCAAACAAATTAAACGTAATAGCGTTTTGGAACCAGAAGAAGAGACCAGAAGAAAAGATGGCGGCGTCCATGCTGGGGCAGAGGACGGCGGCGTTATGTGGGGCTTTAAAGAGAGCGTCCCTGTCCAAAGCCGTCCTTCTTGCGAGCTGTCGCAGCGGGTTTGTGTTGCAGGCTGCGAGCTACAACCCCAAACCGCTGAAGCTGAACCTCCGGGACCCCTACATCCCCGACAAGGAGAGCAACAAAACCCCGGAGTGGCAGAAGACGTCTCGGTATGACAGGAAGCTGTTCGGCCGCCACGGCTCAGCCTCGGGCGTCGCGCCCGCGTCTCTGTGGCCGTCTCCCGAGGAGCTGGAGAGGCTCATAGCGGAGGAGGCAGAGTGGCATCCGCCTTTGGAAGTTATGCTGAAGAACATAAAGACCAGAGAGAAGGAGGAAACCCAGATGCGGCTCGCGAAGTAAGTCACACTACGCCTGCTCTGATTGGTCAGTTTCTCTCCTTCATGTTTATTCTTCACTTTGTGCAGCTTTTGCAGGTTACAGATTCATACTTCATGAATCTTTTCATCCTTCGTGGTTCGGGTTTTATGATGGTACAACCATTCATAAAACCCGAACTTTTAGTTTTGTTTCAGGATACTGTGTGTGAAGTTTGAAATATTAGTTAATAAGTAAAAACAACAACTAAATGAAATAAAATGCCAGTAATCCTTGTTCTGGATTAGTAATCGGACCCTGCGGAGTAGGAAAAACCGATGCAAACAGATCAATTTCTTTTGATATATTTGACACATTAATCTGTGGTGTATCTCGGTGCATTTTTTTTATAATTCGAAACTGGAAATGGAAGCTGGAAAGCTCTTCTCCAAACCTACCCATTGGGGAAGCACGGTGGTGGCAGCATCATGGTGTTGACCAATGCGCGCCACAGTTTTCAGATATGTAATGATGAAAGCAGAACTTCCATTGATGTTTGCGGTTGTGATGTGACAACAATGAAAAGTCAAATATAATTTAAATATACGTTTGTCGGTGTTGCGTGACGAAAGATTTGAAGGGAAGAGAAATAAAAAGTCCGCTCTAGTTCTGATGTTGGCTCCAGCTGTGTTTATTGGGCGGCGCCGGCTGATTTCTGTCATGTTTTCAACACAGGGAGAAGCTCATAGCGGCGAACATGGCCAAGATGCCCAAAATGGTGGAGGACTGGCGCAGGGAAAAGCGCGAGGCCAAGCAGAAGCTGAAGGAGGAGAAGGAGCGGAAAGCCAAGCTCCTGGCCGAGGCGCGGGAGCGCTTCGGTTACAACATGGACCCTCGCAGCCCAAAGTTCCTGGAGATGGTCGCCGAGATAGAGAAGGAAGAGAAGAAGAAACGGAAATTGCTGAGGCGCAGAGAGAAGGCGGAGCAGGCTGCAGTTCCCCCTGCTGCGCCCCCTGCTGCCCAGTCCTAGAACTGGAGTTTTCAGCAAAATCCTGTCAGTAGAAACAACAAAACTAAATTCTTGCTTAATCAGTCGTAGCAGGAATTGTGTTTTTACAAATGTATATAATAAACTGCCGACATGTTGCTATGTTTGTATTTAATGCGCTGGAAAGTGGACTTTTAAGCCAGTGCAGTCCTTCCTCTGTCACCCAATATCATCTTCGATGATGGAAAATAACTTTTTCTTTCTGTTTCTATGTATTTTCACCATCTTCTCATGTGTACAGACTGTAGAACAAAATATAATTCTTCCAAAACACCACTTTGTTACAACTTAAAAAAAAAATGAACAGAAGTATGTCAAATATTCTAATAAAACTTTCTGGTTTTGGGACAGTATTCAAACTCTTATAGCCTCATCACATTTTCTGACAAACTTCAAATTTTTGCATTATTGTGAAGCTGGAGGATTTTTTTTGCCTTTAAAAACATCTAAAAAATGTGGCGTGGATTTGTATTCATCCTCTTGAGTCAATATTTGATAGAACCATCAAGTAGAGCAGCTCTGTAGGAAACCTCTACGAATGATGAAATCGTATGATTTTTTTTTCTCATCTGACCAGAGAAAACCTTTTTCCACATGTTTGCACTGGATTTTATTAAGGCGTATCAACAGTTTCCCCACAATGCATCACACTATTAAAAATAACATGGTCACTTCAGTGGTGCCTACTAGAGTTTACAGAAGCGGATGTTCCCCACCGATTCCTCCCTTCTCTTCAAGATGGACGCAGCACATTTGTTTGAATAAATCTTACAAAGCGTTTGGTTTCTCTACAATAAGCTCGATTGGTGAAGATTCATTGTCATTCTGAACCGCGTAACCTCCTCCGTTGAATAAAATAACTTGCATATATGTACACTCAGGTGTGTGTTCGCCTGTGGAAGGTAGTGAAAACCCCAGCTCTGCTGCGCTCCTCTTTAAGTCACGGTGACGGCACGAAACGCCTTCTTGTATCGACATGTCAAAGTTTGTTGCAAGCGCGCTGCGGGTCAAAACGGCCCGTGACGAGCGGTCTGCTGGGTTCCGTCACATCTGGCTGTCTTCCTCCTCAGGGTCGGCCTTGAGTTTGGCCAGAGCAGCGTGGATCCTGAACAGAGTCCTGGACTCCATGGAGTAGTCCTTGTAGTTGTGCCTGAGGGACACAGTTTAACCAAATATTTTCAGTGCTTAATGTGTTTTTTTTTTTTAATGGTAAAGGAAAAGCCTGACTTGTTTTATGAGGTCATTCTTATGTCCAATATTTGCAGTAACATCATGGAACCATGATGTTATTTTACTTACTTGGCTTTATGGAGTATCTTGATAGCCGCGTCTCTTTTGCCTTGATCGATGTAAAGCAGACTGAGCTCCACCAGAGCGTTGGGAACCAGGTAGTGATCAAACTTAATCTTCTTCTCACTAAAAGCACAGAGAGCAGCAGACAATCTGTGGTAAACAAGAGACTCTCGGCTGCAGGGATTAAAGACATCAGTGGTCATGTTATGTTATGATGGCAGAAGTTTCCATGCATTCAGATATGTCGAACTTTGTCGCATTTTATGACGTTACCGCTGCAAAATTCAATGCAAATGATGTACTTTATGGGCTCAGGAAGTTGGTCAGAGTTGATAGGAAGATAATAGAGGTTGAGAAAAGACTAAAGACTCAGAGAGTCAACTTCCAGCAGGACAATGACCCGAAACATACGACAGGAGACGTCAAAGTCCTGCCTGAGATTCTGGGGCCAGACTCAAGATTTGATGTGACTGGACCCTTTCCAGCCAGTTTAGTCTATTTTTTAGAATGAAAAAAGAAAAAAAGCCTCTTTTTCTACGGTTTGTTTCGTACAGAGGATCCAAACTCCGTACTTTTGAGAAACGATTGCTTCGTGGAGGCATACACTCTGTTGGGAGTTTTAAATCTTACCCAGTGATGCATGCGGCGGCCAGTTCTTTGCTTACAAAGAAGCTCATCAAAAATAGCCTGCACTGTAAACAACAATCCTTCACTGCAAAGAGTGAAGTGCACAGCTGAACCAGACGACTGTTCATGCTAATCCAATGTTCGAAAACGTGGCTGACGCGAGCCGAACGGTTTCACTTCAGAAAATCAACATCAGCGTTCACAACTTCTTCTGTTCGCTGATCAGCTCTGTTGGAATTATGCCAGAGGATCAATGGGAGAAGTGAAGAAAAATAGAGACACACTTTACCGATTTTTATTTCTCGGACAAAAAAAATATAAAAAAATTAAGAGCTTCTTTGAGTTGGTCAACATAAAATCCCAACAAAATAGGTTCAAGTCAGTAACTTGCACGAGATCAAAATGCCTTTGCAAGGCAGTGCTGCTTTTGAAAGCACGAGCCGTCCACGTCAGACATTGACGCCGGGCTAATATTTGCCGGGCAAATATTTACAGTGTGAGAAAATTCAAGCAGGGAAAAAGCTGCTTTCGTTTCTTAGGAGTTCTCTTATCAAATCTGTGAAGTTTCCAAAGGAAGTTGCTCTTGTTCGCACAGTGAGGATCCGAACTGAGCCCACCTGGAGCAGACCTTGTTGAGGCACTCCTCAGCCGCCTGCAGGTTTCCCTGGTTCTTAAAGCACAAACCCTTCAGCATGTGGATCAGGCAGCGGTCGTCCATCAGGTACTCGCTCTCTGCAGAATAAACCAAAAGCGCTACTCAAGTAAGAGCAGCACGTCTTCAACACATTTTTGCTCAAGTGAAAGTAAAAAGTAGCCCTATAAAAAATGAGAAAAAGTGTTTGGCGAAACGTCTGCTCAAGTTCTGAGTGGCCGATCAAATTGTCAGTCGTTTAATGTTTAAAAATTACATCATCAGGTGGAACAAAATATAAGGCTTAGTGGAAATTTAGTTTGTTTTTTTTTTAAGGACGAATATGGTAACAATTCTTAAAATGGAAAAAATAAATTAGGCAGATAAATTTATTTCCAAATCAGTTCAGTTCTTTTGATAAATAAAAAAAAATTTATAAAACTTGAATAAATTTTACTCAAGTAAGAGTGAAGATACTTCATAATAAAATAACTTAAGTAAAAGTAAAAACACACAGTGTAGTAAATTACTCCTAAAAGTACTTTAAAATAAAGTAAATAAATAAATAATTTTTTTAAAGTTACCAAAGTCAATGTAATAGAGTAAATGCAACAAGTTTAATAGAGTAAATGCAACAAGTTTCTCCCCAAACTAAAACCCCAAGCTGCAGTACCTGGAGATTCCAGCAGGGTGCGCTCTGCCTCCACCAGAGTCTGCATCATCCCCTCGGTCAGCTCTGGCCGCTTGCTGATCATGCTGAAGCCGTTCCACATGTACATCATCTCCTGTGGTTGCGCAGGCGTGATGTGAGCCAAACAGAACTCTCCATGTGGGTTTCTCTGATCCTTTTCTGACTCACCAGAACCGGCACCGGCAGCCTGACCGGGTCGGAAGACTTGTAGCGTCGGGCTTTGCGGATGGCAAACTTTTCAGTCGGGGGAGACTTTCCTGCTATCTTCTGCTTGAGGGTGGGAACTTGTCTGAAGAAGAGGGAGGGAGGTTGAAACAGATCGAGAATCAAAGTGTTACTTTAGGTTGGGGGGAAGAAAATACATCTATAGGCCTGTCCTGCCATGAAAGAAAAGCAATGAAAGCCCAACAGGAAGTCATCATTTCGACTTTCAGGGTCATGACGACGAGATTCAGAGTCATAATTTTGAGATTTAAACTCATAATCGCCAGAAAGAAAAATCCTAACTTGAATTCTCAAGGTCATTATTATAAGGTTGAAGATCATCACTTTGAGAAGAAAAGTTTCTCTAAGGAGGAATTCTGCAGGTTCTCATAATCAGAACTTTGATTATACCAACCTCATAATTATGACTTTAAAACTGCAGCAGTGATTACAGAGAAAGATGGTCGTTTTGACTCAGGGGGGCTGAAAACTACGGAGTCCCATAGGGGACATGGAGCATTCTTTTTTTCATTTCTATTTCCTTGCAAAAACGTTTGTGTTCCCTGACAGAAGGTTTTGCGTTCTGCTTCGTTCATGGGGCATAATTAAATATTGAAAGTTTGTTTTGGTGGTCATAGCACTTTCTGTTGTAATGTCAGGCTTTTGTGAGGTTTTTCCATGTATGTTCATATCTCCTTGTGCAATATCTAAGGTTTTATATCCTTTTCTTTAGTATAGAAATGCACCACAAACCTATAAGAAACTTTACGCAAGTAGAAAGAATTATTTATTAGTTATTTAAAAAAGAAAATTCTCACTCATTTCAGTACATGCCATTTCTGTCAGAGCTCTCTGATTGAACGCTCACTGATCACTCTTCCCAACAACAACAACAAAAACAACAACAACAACAAAAACAAAAAACGCAACGCCGACCTGAAGAGCTCCACCTCGTCCTCTCCAAAAGGCCGCGCCTCTTCCTCCGGCAGCATGCTGAGGTAAGCAGCTTTCATGTACACATACATGGCCTGGAGGAGCAGCACAGGAAAATAGATGAAAAATAATATGTATAAATAAAATGATTTGTTTCTCAACAAACGTTTTCAGCCAGAGTCAGACACCTTGGACCAGCGGCTCTCCTGGCTCAGCAGGTCTGCGTAGAAGTAGGCCATCTTCCAGGCGCGCTTGAAGGTGAAGCACCACATCAGCTCCCAGTAGCACATGTGGTGGAACTGCTTCCACGCCTGCTGGGCCTTGCAGCCGTCCTCGAACAGCGCCACCGCCTGGCGAGACGGCGCCACAGAGGAGGACAACGAGGAAGCGGGAAACAATCGAACTCGTCAAACATTAACGTCGAGGCTCGGCGAACAGGACGTCGCCGTAGTTACCGTGTGAAAAGGGCTGCGTTCACACGCCGTGTGACCAGCTGAGAAAACAGGAAGTTAGAAACAAACCTCATCGATGTTTCCTTTGATCTCCTCCGTTCTGCCGGCAAAAAAGAGGAATATTGCACCCTGCGAACAGAGAAAGAGGGGGAAAGAAAACAAATGACACGTGATGCGACTTTAGCTGCCGGTTTGTTTGACCGTTGGCGTCACATCAGTCCTGAAGGATGCGACAATCTTTCTCGGCCGTGTTTGATCAAGACGTCTCCACTCAGCCACGGCACTAACTGCGTCACAGTTCAGTTTGCTCTGTGGGATGGGCTGCCAGGCAGGTGGAGTGGGAAACACAGCTTGTGAATTTACAAGTCAGAGAGAGACAGAGAGAGAGATGGAATGGTTTTGGATTTGTCGTCATGGTTCAGGTTTATTTCATTGTGACTTTTCGTTTGTCTGATTCAGTTTGTTTCAATGAGTTTTCACCCGCTTGCTGGTTGTTTTTAGTTAAATGTTGCTCGGTTTCAGTTTGGTTAGGAGGATACGTTTTAGGTGGAGAATTCAAAAAAGTCAAAGTATTGTATTGTGGTGTGTATAACGAATACTCAACAGAAGACAAGATGATCAAAACATGGATTCAGTTCTTGTCGAACAACCATCTGACTCTGGTGTTTCATCCCAACTTTTGCCGTCAGAGTACGGAGTACTGTAATTTGTCGACAGCTGACACAAGATGCTTGTGTGGAAAGAAAAATCTGATTAATAGATCCATAAAGGTACAAGCCGCTCACAAAATGGAAGACGGTGGAAAAACCTGCGTTGCAGTCAGCAGTGAAGTGAGTCTCACTCTCAGCGTGGAATGAAAAAGTGCAGACTGAGAAAGAAGCGCCTTCTACTCTTGCAGAAATTTGCATCTCCTCACATGAACAAGCCACGTTTCCTCTGGAGAAAATGAACATGGTCGCCTGTGACAGAGATGAGCAGTTTGGTCATAATGACCAGAATTTATGTTTGGAGGAGTTGAGGTGAGAACAGTTCTGCATGCTAGCGTCAGTATCAGGCTACAAGTCCATTCCGCTGCGCATTAGGTATGATTCTGATTAGAAATTTGAATGCTTTTGACATCAGAGGTGGTGGAGTTAATGAAATGAGCTCATTTTCAACTTGTAAGCATCGTTCACAGTTTCAAAGTCCTTGGGGTGGGAGCCAGTCCAGCATTAGCCTGGTCACCAAGCACAGCAATTCGCCACTGGATTTCCAGCTTCCAATTGGAACACAGTGAGAACAGGGAAAACATTTCAAATTTTTTGTTCCAACTTTTCAAGGTGAATGGATCACTGTCTTTTAACTCAATTAAAAGGAAGCCAATCCTTTAGCACAGATTCTCACCCGTGGGTATCGGAGCCGGAAAGGTTTCAGCAGTCGCTCAGCCTCAGAAACTTCTCCCTCTCCCGTCCCTGAGCAGACAAAAACAGGAAAATGGTGCCAAACGGAAAGTCTGACGTTTAATGAAACCGCCGCAGAAATCCAGGCGGCAAAAACCTACCGAGGACGAACGTGAGGAAGGTGTGGTAGCAGAGCAGCAGCAGGGCGCACAGCATGGAGCGCAGGTTCATTCCTGTGGCTCCGTCACAGAGCAGAGAGAGGCCGTGTTCCTGCCACAGAACGCACCAGGAAAACATCGGTCAGATTCTCCCGAGTCAATGGAGCCATGGCAGAAACGGCAAACGTCACACCTTGTCGCCGGAAAAACCCGCAAACTCCAACATTTTAAGAATACGAGGAGGAAACAGAGACAGCGTCTGAAAGTAAAGGAAATCTGATTAGCATTAGAGCACAATAAATGTATTGACATTATAAGTAAAATCCTTGTAAAAATAAATAGGCCATTAATTATTTTTAGCATTATATATTTTAAAACTGGAGTGTTCTTAAACACATTCTTAAAGGGCCAGTTAGAGAATATATTGATAAAACTACATGTTAACAAATTATTATATCTTTCTTTGCATTCGATGAGTACTTCCAATTTACTAATATTTCACGTTTTTACACTGATGCAATTTGGCAGAATAAAAAAATTTGATGTGACTGATAAAATAACGTGAGCACACAAGTGATGCCTTGAAGCTTTATTTCACCAGAAATATTTATGGAGGGTTAGATTTGGAACAATCTCCTGCACAGTTGATAGGAAAGCACTTCATTAATTTTTGCAGCAATGTTTTGATCTATTTATATTTGACCAAGTGTAATGGATAGACGTCAAGGAGGATTTTAAGTAAAAGTTACATTTTAGTCATCTGCGCAAATGTTTTTAGTCCTGCTTGCTAATAATTCAAAGTGACGACAGAAAGCATGGCTAATTAGGCTTCCCAGTTTCAGAAATAATTCATTTGTCTGTAATCAAAGTTCACCAGGACATCAACATGATAACATTCAGGAAGCCAGCGACGAGATTTCAGGCCTGGAGTCTTGGGCTCGTGCTTTATTGTTGCAGCTGAAGACGTCGAAAAGATTTGCATGTGTCATCTGTGAATTATGTCCAAACGTCTTGATTTTGTCTCGACTGTCTGAAGAAGATCGCGCCCTAGTCAAACAATGTGGCTTGTTTGAGAGGAGGTGGAGTTTCGAAAGCCTGGTCGTTGTTTGTTTCATCTGAAAACACTTATGAACGAGGAAACTGATTACGAACGAGGAAACTGATTCGTGACTCTTCACAGATTGATGGGCAGCAAGACGGCCTCTCGCTGAGATCAGTGTGGAAGTTTTTCTGCCTCAGCATTTTAACATGCAAATGAAGGCTGTCAACAAACAATCAAAACACCAAAGTGTCAACAATTAGTTCATGATCATCAACTGGATTAGTTAATAATTAAATAACAATGACTACTTATTAGTTAAATAGTTAACTAATGATGACTAGTTAATGGTTAACAAATCATGAATTAATAAGTGGAACTAAATGACTAGATTAAATAATCATTAACTAATCATAACTTAATGATCAGACTAACTAATCATTAGATTAGCTAATCATTGACTCATCATTCCTTAATGATGAGTTAATCCAGTGAATGTGGTGAGCCAGCATCAGCCAGCAGGTACATGTGCTGATCTTAGCCGTCCGTCTAAGGGGAAAATGTCGCGTTCTGTTTTCTTATCTGAAGTCGTGGCTTCATTTAAAGAACAACTTGAGACCAGATTTTGTTAAATGGTGGAGGGTTCCAAAAGAAAAAAGCCCATAACAATATTCTTTTTTTTTTTTTTTCTCATCCGTGCGTCCTTTGCGCCGTACCAGGTTAAACGCTCCCACTCCGAAAGAAATGCCTCCCTCCAGGTGAATGTGGCTCGGTCCTTTGACGCAGCTGTAAGATTTGATGAAGTTGTGCAGGTCTCTGGGTCATGACAGAGAGGAGAAAGAACTGCTTAGCAACAAACATCTGTATGAATCAGTTACACATCTGTGTTACAAAGCGTATCTCTGTATTTAAATCAGCACTTTAAAAAAAGGCAATGCATTAAAAACAACGTATAATAAATGCAGCTTTTAGTTCACTTGTTTTTTTCAAGCTGTTTAATTCTAATTTCTTCTTCTCTGTCTAAAACCTTCAGTCTACAATGCAGAGGAAGAGGAGCTCACAGTGGCTGAAAGCTGACCTCTGACCTTCGTACGTAACATAAACCGACACATATCAACGCAATATGGTGACAAAAGTATTCAACTTTTATTCTTTCAGTCTTTATGTGATGAAACAACACAAATGAATGAGGAATTGTAAAATGGAAGCAAAATGAAATTTATTTGCTAAATATTGTGTTATTGTGAATCTAAATCCTGAAACAGACTCGGTCAGATTTAGAGCAACGTAATCATGTTTAGAGTTTGATCCGTAAAAAGACAACATATAGATTTATGTACAGTTTATAATGACACTCTTTGTGTCGATCTGTTGCTGCTTTTACTTGTAAAACGATCAAATCTGAAAACAGCTCCACAGTGTGATCACACAATGCAATGCAGCAGCCATGCTGATGAAATACATGTTTAGTATGTCTGTCTTCAACAAGCATATGCTTGTTTGTCAACAACAACAGAAATTAACTTTAGAAAGCATATAGGGTAAAAACATTTTCCGTTTTAAATAAGCACTTACTTGTAAATCATGTAGCTGTTTCTTACTTTCATCCCTCCTTTGATAAAACTCACCATGCTCTCATCCTGAAGGGACACAAAGAGGAGACATTTTATAAAATATAAGCGCACACGTTTACATTAAACTAAACGTATTAAATCTGGTTTCTGGCTTTAACTTCAGCTGCCATGTTTGTATTTATTGTCTGTTTTGATAATTGAGGCACCTTTAGTTTACCTGGAGGAACGTGAGAGCAGCTCTTTGGAGTTGGCACTCTGCATAACACACCTCTGCATGGAGCTGCACTGCAAAAACACACACCAGCACACACACCCGGCATCGTGTGAGACAACTGCTCTCCCTCCGTTAAGCTGCGCTCCCAAAAACCGGACGAGTCGTTTTCTCCTCTGACGACTTGAAATATTCAAACCGCGCTAAAAACGTGTCAGTGAACGTGACGCGGTGAACAAATCTTCCTCCGTAATGTGAAACAGCTGGGAGTTCCTGCATCTCTCACCTTCAGAAAGAGACTCGCCGACCGACTTGTTTGACAAACCCTGGGATTTCCGTCGAAACCTGTGAAGTCATTAAAAAGACACACACACACAAAAAAAGAGCGAATATTCAGCGTACAGAAATGCTACATCATGAAGGATTCAAAGCAAATATGAGCTTATATATTCTCCATCAATCTTTAAAATCAGGGTCAGGTTGTATAATTTTATTTTTTTTTAATATTTGTTAAAATTGTGACAACATGAGATAATCTGTGAAAAGTTCAATCTTTTCCACCTTCTCCCTCAGCTGCTATTGCCATCTGAAGAAAAGCAGCACCGCACCTGGTCAAAAACAACCAATCAGAGCAGGGAGGAGGGACTTAGCGCTGTCAATCCACATCGTGTACATGCTGCTCAATGTGCCTGACAGCATAGAGAAGCAGTGTTCTGGGCTATGCTAATTAGCGTGAGCAGTCACAACATGCTATGCTGGCTGCAGCGTAGCAGAGAGGAAGGAGGAGGGATGAACAGCGCTACGCGGAGGGTGATTGACAGCGATAAGCCGCTCCTCCTGGCTCTGACTGGCAGACGACATAGGAGCTCAGTTTTTTCCAGATTATCTGTCTCACTGGACTGAAACAAATATGCAGGCGACATTGTGTGTCAAGGTAAAAATGCTGGTCTGAAGAGGAGCAAAAATGACAAAGAGCCTGAATGCAGGTTCAGGTTCAGAGCTGTGAGGCATTTCTCTCTCCTCACTGGACAAACTACTGATAATGTTTCAGTTTAAATACAGTTCTATGAATAGATACAACATTTACCTCTGCTCCTCTGTATTTTATTTTATTTTATTTTTTGCTAGTAACTTCTTACTTTTTCTGACAGAACGATTATCCAACAATTTACGCTTATCTCAACAGGGATAAGCACGAATGCAAATACAAGTTTGCATGCACGGTCAAAGCAAAGCAATAAATGTAATTGCACCTCTGCATTACATTGCAGCTTTGACCAAAAGCAGAAACATGAAAGAAGCACCGTAGCGGCGCGAATGTGTGACGAGTGACCCAGGCTGACCTCTGACAGACCTCCTGGGCGCTCTTCATGGTGTTCCCGGCGTTGGTTATGTCGTCGTGCTGAAAGGTCATCATGGCCTGCATCTCCAGCACCGTGGCGTAGATCAGAGCGTGGTACATGCTCTCCTGGACTCTAAAGAAACGGGAGCAGCAGAGGACCGAGAGGATCAGCGGCTCGGCTCGGACGCGGCTCGGCCAGGCGCATTTTCCTGCCGAGGCCTGATAAGAGGCCAGGTGGTTGATCCTCTCCACCCGCTCCGTCTTGTGCAACGTGTTTGCATTGCACGGCTGACGCTCCGCGGCCTTGTTGAGTCAGGCGGGCCTTGGGCGTCAGCTTCAGCAAACACTCCATATCCTGGAGACCTGAGGCCTGTCGGCCGGGCCCCTGAGTGTGACAGGCTCACGCCACAAAGAAAGTAAAAGAAAGACGGCAAGAGAAGCTGAATACTTGCTGACATCATGCTGTCAACACCACCACCACCACAGACGTGGCTTCTTTTTTTTTTTTTAAACGATGAGAGCCGGCCGGCGGGGACCTGACTGATCAGCGTTACCTCGGCCGCAGCCTCTCCAGGCTCTCGTTGAAGTGGTTGTTGAGGAAGAGATCCAGGGCCTCCATGCACTCATCCAGACATGCTTTCAGGGTCATCTCGGAGGAGCTGCAGCACAAACGAGGTGCAAAGATGAACAAGAGAGATATGACTGAAGTGAGACGGGGGAGGAGAGGAGGGGTGGAGCAGCGTATGCACTCATGATGCAGGTCAGCATGGTTATTTAGAACTGTCACAATATGCAATAAATAAATCCATCGCATAATCAATTAAATCGAGAGAAATAATAATAATTATTATTATTTTTACAACAATTGTCAATACCGTTGAAAAACTTTATACTGTTAGCTTAGCCTTTCAGAGGTATGATAGTCACTTCAATTAAAAAAATATTGTTGATTTTGAAGTTCATATTTGATCATATTTGATCATCAACAGTTGATGTTGCCAATGTTGATAGATGTGGGCAGGGAGGAGCTCCTGCAGCAGTCAGTGTTACGGAGGATCCGAAGGAGCCTCTGACTGAAGGCGCGGTCATTTCCTCCTAATTTCCTTGTATGAACGTCTTAGCTTTGGTCATCAGGGAAACGGTGGCCAGGACACTTTGTCAGGAAAGATTCAAAAGGTTCAGAACTGTGTTACAAAATGTTTTGGGCTTTAATTGCAATTTTAATTCAGATTTGTTTGTTGTTTTGTATTTTTGAACATGGGGGCACAAACCAAAGAAGTAACATGACCTGAACAATGAGGATTAAACCAGGATTGAACCATTTTATTCAATTTCACATCAAAAGCGTTGATATCTACGTACCAAAAATGAAATAATTATGACAATTTTAAATTGTAAAAAATATTCCCTCTGTGTCATCGTTCAATTTCTGAAATCTTTGGAGACGATTTAAAAATAGCTTTTGAAAAATCTTGTCACCTTCAGCTTTTACATCCACATTCAGAGTCAAATTTCAGACCTTTGAGCCACTTTAGCCTCAGGAGCCTTTAGCTGCACCTTTTGATCGATCATATCGAATAAAACTGAATCGAAGACTCGCGTGCATTGAAGTACCGCATGACAACAAAACTGCAGGGTCGCGTGCAAATAAAGGAATCACGTTTTAAAACACATCCATCATCTATTCTCTCCAACTTGGTTCTCTTTCCTGTCTTGTTCCTTTTCGTAAACAGTTTCTGCTCCACTAACTAAAGACGCACAACCAGTTCTTGCTTCCTGGAACAGCAGCTCCGCTTTCTGTCTCGTTTCTAGCACTTTAATGAATCGTTGTGACGCGTTCCCGTAGTTCCCTGGCACAGATGCTAGTAAATATTGTCCCTGCATGTCGTCAAAAATGAGGGTCTCTCCCAAAGCTTGGACACAAGACAAGCTGTCGGAGAACTAGAGAGCAGGAAACGTCAAAAACTACCCCCCAAAAAAAGTTTTTCTTTCCTTCTCCAGTGAAGTCTGAACTTACTTTTGCGCAGCGTTTGGGTCTTTCCCATTGGACATGTTCCCTCTGCGCGCCGCGAACACCTGCAGCAGATCCGGTCCGCGTTCAGGAAGAGCTGCGCCGATCCGACCAGACGCGGAGCCCCGAGGGTGACATGGGAACAGGTTTCCTCTCGACCAAACTCTGGCAGCGCGTGCAGCGGTGAAGGCACGCGCTCATCTGTGCGGACCTCAACTGGTGGAGCGTGCGCGTTAGAGGCGCGCCGACTCCTCCTCCACCTGGCTCCACACACACACACACACACACACACACACACACACACACACACACACACACACACACACACACACACACACTAGTTTAATCCAAACTAATGAGAAATTTTTAACAAAAAAATGGAATTCATTCTTTAATATTAGAATCAACTGTGCAAAAATAAATGCTTTTATGTTTCTTGTATTAAACTAATTTTGCTTTCATTCCTGTTGGAATCATTTCACTGGTTGAAGTGAAGTTATGATAGTTCATGTCACGTATTAAGCTGACGCGGCTTCTGACGCCCGAGTAAACAAGGAGGCGTTCACCGGTTCACATGTAATTTCAAACTGCAACCACTTGAGGGCGATGTTGTCACATCGTTGCGATGAGAGACGGAGCCCGGCGAGGCTCTGATCCTGACTCAGTCGATGCTTTTTCATGTTCGCTTTCTAAACCAGGTGGAATTAAATGATTCACGTTTCTGAAGGCCGTCAAACTCTTTTTTATTGAGGGCCATTTATCAAAAATTTGAATGTTCTTAACGGGTCTGTTGTGCCAAAATGCATTGATTAAACCCATTAAATTGTAAGAATATTAATAAATATGGATTTGTGACTTTTTTGTGATTTTTCTTTTGGTAATCAAACTCCCAGTTTTGATGCTAATTTAGAAATAATTGTAAGGATTTTTTATGATATTTGTGCTAATGTATGATGTTAAATGGGACTTTGTATCACCTGTCATATCAGTGACTATGACTTCACTTCAAGTAAGGCCGAGGCTGCAGTCACTTAAACATAATGTTTTTGACCAACTTTGAGAAAATGTTGCAGTAAGATCAGATAGAAAGGTGGGGATCTGTTGAACTTTGTGGGAATTTTGGGGCCTTTTGGCAAAAATAGAGGGGACGTATTAAATCATGATTTAAGGCGTACCAAATGTACTGAAACATGCTTTTTGGAACAACTTCATCTGTTTGTCTTTATCTAAAAGACAAATGAGGATTTCTCAGATTTCTGTCACTTCTGGAGTTATGGGGGAAGTAATTTGTAGTGTGGCAGGAGGAGAAGTCATTCTTGGAAGGGTGCTAATGTAATTCATTTTGTGGTGAATTTCCTGTTACATAATTTGTGATACTATGTTGATTATTAACTGAAAATAAATGAATTATTAAAATGTCAAATCTCTCTTTCTCACTCTCTCTGTCTCTCTGTCGTTCCCCTCAAAAAAAAAAAAAATATATATATATATATATATGTAAATATAAATAGAGGGACGTGTTGAAGAAAGTTGGACTCTAGACTCTAGTGAAAGTAGGTTTGCATACTTGAAGGCACGCTAATCATCAGTATACTTAAAGTGTGTTATTTTGGAACAACTAATTTTGTAGTTAGTGTGCAAAGTGAGCCATATTCACCTGGAAGGAGTTGGATAACCAGTCCCGCTTCCCTGCCGCTGCTACCTGTGATCTGTCTGGGGTTAGGGTTAGTCCCGGGCTTCAACCGCTCAGCTTCCTCTTTATTACCAGCTTCCCAGTCTGCACGCTACAGGGGGCGTGTCCGGGTATGAGTGGCATCGTCACATTAAAAGCGAAACACAATCAGGAAAACATACGACAACAAACCAAAAACGAACCCAAACTAAATATAACAGGAAAAGTAAATTACTTCAAAATATAACAAGCGAATCCAAAACAGCAATGTAAAGAGCATAAACTCAACAAATTAACTCAAAAAAGAAAAAACGAGGCCACATTATCACATATGGACATATGGGTGCTAGTTTCACCCAGAAAGATGGTTTAGGCTGTAAATCTGTGCTTCCTAAACATGTTGTGTTGCAGAGAAGGAAGGTATTTATGATCCTTAAAGACACAGCTAATGAGCTTCACCTGTCCTTTAATTTCAAAATAGATATTTTTAATAATATGATTTTTGCAATGTTTTGGTTGTGGTGCAGAAGGTCATATAATTCAATCGTGCCCAGAAAATCTTAAGATGAATGCTGGCGATGGTGACAGTGCCTCCAAAAATATAGACTACATTTGCTTTGATCCAATTAGATGTAGGGCAATTGATTAATATGAGTTGTTGCTATGTTGTTGTACAGTGTTTTAAGAACTTCTTCAGTCGTGCCCTTTTTTAACTTTGAGCCCCCGCCCCTCCAAAGGTCTCTGCACAGCTCTGCATTTCATTAATATTTTAGACTTAAACATCATTGACTCTGTGTTATTTTGAGGGAAACCACATTTAAAGCAAATGTTTATTAGTTGTTTCCAATGGGGTGATTAATAAAATGCATTATTAGATTTAATATTTATTTATATGCAAGTTGAAACAGGAATTTAAATGTACTAAGTTCAGTGGGCGTCAGTGGGTATGAGTGGCAGCTTTGAACTTTGGTATGTCCCTTTTATGTAAAGATTTGACATAATTCATAGAATTGCATTCCTGCAAACCGGTTATATAATATCCTTTATTACTCTGAATTGGAATTTTTTATAGGTGAAGTCTAAAGTACCAAGTCTTATCATATTGTTTCTGATAAGAGTGTGACAATGCTTAGCAATAAAAATGTCATGATCAACACTGAGGTCCAACAGAACCATTGAACACTTTGACTAGGCCAGTCTCTGTGCTGTGGTGAACCAAACTGGAAGGAGTCAAAGCGGTTGCTTTTAGTAAAATTTCATCGAAGCCATTACTATATTAAAAGCATTTCATCTACATGCTAAATATGTGAGTTTGATAAGACCTATAACTATTTATACATCATCTTTCTTTGGTTTTTCTTCAGCTTCCTATGAAATATTACATCTAATATTTGTTTTTTCTGCAAATTGAAGCAATAAATTAAAACATTTGAACATAAGTTTTTTTTTCACCATATGAACTTTTGAAATAAACATTCAGAAACACGTTTCTATAAACAGGTTATAATATCTTTTTGATCCTAGATTGCATTTTTTTTGTAGGTCGAGTCTAAAGTACCAAGTTTTATATAATTTCTGATAAGAGTCTGACAATGTTTAGCAATAAAAGGTCTGGGCTCTTATTTAAGTGTCAAACATCAGAGTGGACCTCCAGACACACTGAGGATGGAGATGAAAATGTTTTTTCCGTTGCTGCTGCTCGTCTGCTCCGTCTCTACAGCTGAGCTGCAGGCTCAGTCTGACAATGACATCCTGTCACATGTCAGGCAAACTGAGGGCCAAGTGGGAGAAGCAGAGAGTGTGACTGAGCAGCAGACCTGCACACAGGACATCAACGCTGTTCTGAGAGAGATGAGCGCCTGGGTGGCTGCACTGAAGGTGGAGGTGCAGCACCTGCAGAGAGACAATGAAGGTTTGTTCACAGAGAGTTACAGAGTTTGAATCAACTGATCCTGATCAATCAAATGATCCATACGGTTCAGAGTTTTAATTATTTATTATGGTTATCAGTGAAGACGACGGAGCTGCAATCCCTGAACCAACGGTACCAAGGTACTGATTGTATTAGACCAAAAGTTCTAAATAATAATTATTTTGAATATATGACAGATCATAAACTAAAACATTATTTTTGTGTTTACTTTTCTTTAGTACAAGAAACTGAGGTAAAAAAGCTGCAGGATCAGAATCAAGGTATGTAGTTTAAGTTCAATACAAATATTTTCTACAGAGCTTTGCAGAAGTTTTTACCCTCCATGATCTTTACTTATTTTATTACAGTAAAATCACGAATGTAAATTTTTTTAAGTTTTACTTGATAAACTAACTCAGACTAACATTCAATGTGAATTAAAGGAACATTTATTTGGGATTTTAATATTTAATGTGTTTTTTTTAATATCCAAAACAATAATGGAAAATATCTGTGATTATAAACAGTTTTAGAAGCAAGAAAACATTTCTGTTCCAAAACAAATTCAGGTTTTTATTCTAGGAAGCAAAAACTCAGGTTAATTACTGTAAAGAAAAACTTTGAATTGATTTAATCTGTTTAATAATCGTCTTATTTCAGCTCAGGCAGCAGAACTGGCTGCTGTTAAAGTCAAAGCCAACATGACTGGAAACCAAGTGGAGGCTCTGAAGAGAGAAGCAGAAGGTTTGTGAAATCTGAAGGAAACTTGTGATTGCAACACACTTGAGATTAAATAAGTTAACATGAAACTCTTACCTTTAACTCATATCCAGTTTTCTCATGGGAACATAAGACGATCTCCTGAAATGCATTTTCAATCTATTTTATGAAACTGGTTGATCATTGGTTGCTGTGATGCTTCACATATTTAACTATGTCGGAGAAACTCAGGATTCACCTGGGAGCAATTTACAAATTCAGAAAAACAGTCATGTATAAAAAATGTGTTGACATATGATGACAACATGTTCAAGTATTTTGCCTGTTAATATATAAGATGAATTGATGCGTAAATGTTGTTGTGGAGATAATTCAACAAAAAATGGTAAAACACATTTTGAACGACAAGACAAAAGCAAAAGACAATGTAGGGAAAAGCAGAGAAATGTCCATAATCCATAAACTGTAAAATTGAACTAGTAGTTCTGTTCAATTCAGTTCTGTTCAGAGAAATGAATCAGTGACTGAGAAGAACAGCACATTGTTGATACATGTGAATCACTTGGATTTATCAGTCAGTAGAAACATTTAAACAATATGAACTGTGGAAAATATTACAATGTAAAAATCTTTTCTTCTTTTATAACTGCATTTGATGTCCCATGTCTGTCTGTCTGTCTGTCTGTCTTTCTGTCTCTCAGCCAAACGACTGGTTTTCTCTGCCTCTTTGGTGACATCCGGTGCCAGCCACACTGGACCGTTCAACACCCACATAAATCTGATCCTCAGAAATGTTGTTACTAATATTGGAAATGCCTACAACCCAAATACAGGTGCTGCAATTTACTGCAATCATAACTAAAATGTGATAAATTTGTGATAAAAGTGAGAAAAGTGTTTATAATTCTGATAATGATTCTTCTCAGGGCTGTTCACTGCACCAGTGAGAGGAGTTTATCACTTTGAATTCCACATATATGGACATGGAAGTTCTTCTAATCCTACATCTGCTGTGTTGGTCAAGAATGAAGAGCACATCTGTGCATCATACACAAGTCATCCTGCTGGTGGTCAAAAAGCTTCTAATGGCGTCTCACTGCTGTTAGAAATTGGAGATGTTGTATTTTTGCGAATGTGGGCCAATTCAAGGATTTATGACAATACAGATCGTCACACTACATTCAGTGGTCATTTACTTTTCACCATGTAGGCATTTAAAATATATTTTTTTATTACAATATCTGACTGTAGCACAATAAACCGCAAGTACAGCAAAGATTAATCATGAAAACGATTCATTTGTAAAATAAAGTTTATTACAGTTTAGTTCATCCAGCCTGCTGGTTTCTACAGCAGCCATAAGTAACAAATCTGTGCTGGAGATTTGATGTTATTGTTGCTGTAATCTAATTATAAATCACAACTTCAAAACTGAACCAGATCGTCTGAATTAAAGTGTCATTTACAACTTTTATGAAAGCTGGATGAGCAAACTGTCTATTTGAATCACATTGTTTCTTTATTTTCCAAATTAAAAGAATAGTGGAAACAGTAATAAGAGGTTTCTGTCAAATGTGTACAATTCTAGTCTATTACATTAACTGTGTAATAAACGTGTGTGTGTGTGTGTGTGTGTGTGTGTGTGTGTGCGTGTGTGTGTGTGTGTGTGTGTGTGCCTGTGTGTGTGTGTGGGTGTGGTGTGTGTGTGTGTGTGTGTGTGTGTGCGTGTGCGTGTGTGTGTTACCTGAATGAGAATTAGTGTTTCTGAGTTTCACCTTTTAAGTTTAAACAGTTAAAAACATAAATCTTAACAATCATTGGGTTTAATGCTCTGTGGTTTAAATAACTGAGTAAAGTTTGATTTTTGTGCTTCAGTGAGTTTTACTGTTTATTTTTCTCCACAAAAAAAAAAGGTGTTTCTGCTGGACATTTTCATTACATGTAGAAGATTTGAGTAACTTTCACTCTTTGTTCATTTTTATACATTGAATTGTGTGTAAAATATTGCGTCGCTCATTTTCTGGACATAAACAACATTTCTATGTAAGACCCCTGGGGTTCAGTCCAGTGGACTGATTACAAACTAATTAAATCAAAAAACAAACATACCAGTAGGTGGCGCTATCAGTGACAGATTATCATCATTCAGGTTTAGTTTCCTGTTTCCATCCCATAAACTGAAAACAATTAAATTTACAACACCTTCAGTTCAACCCACAAGAAATTTTCTAGAATGAAAATATGATTTGAAAATTGATGAGCTTTTTTGTTTTTTTTAGTTCTAATCTTTAGAGTTTCAAGTTTTTTTCAAATGACTTTGTGGGTTTTGGACTGAATTTCAATCGCAGGTTTATTCTGAAAATATTTATACCTCAACAGAAAAACTATAAAGTTTCATCTGAATCAAGTAAACAACTCATGATTAATGACCTTATTGTAACCATAGATACAGAAAAATCTTTGATATTTTAGCAAAACCTCTTTTAATCCATTTATTATAAATCACTGACACTTGTAACATTAATAGCATTTCATCTACATGCTTAATATGTGACTTTAATAAGACCTATAATTATTTATACTTTGTTTTCTTTTGTTTTTCTTCAGCTTCCTTTGAATTATTAGATCTAATATTTATTTTCATGCAAGTTGAACCAATAAATTAAAACCTTTGAACTTTAACAAGTTTTTTTTCACTATATGAACTTTTGAAATAAACATTCAGAATCACGTTCCTACAAACAGGTTATAATATCCTTTATGATCCTAGATTAGAGTTTTTCCAGGTCAAGTTTAATGTACCAAGTCTTATCATATTGATTCTGATAACAATATGGTAATAATTAATCAGGAATAATAAACTCTATTCCTATTTAAGTGTCAAACATCAGAGTGGACCTCCAGACACACTGAGGATGGAAATGAAAATGTTTTTTCTGTTGCTGCTGCTCGTCTGCTCCGTCTCTACAGCTGAGCTGCAGGCTCAGTCTGACAATGACATCCTGTCACATGTAAGGCAAACTGAGGGCCAAGTGGAGAAGCAGAGAGTCTGACTGAGCAGCAGACCTGCACACAGGACATCAACGCTGTTCTGAGAGAGATGAGCGCCTGGGTGGCTGCACTGAAGGTGGAGGTGCAGCACCTGCAGAGAGACAATGAAGGTTTGTTCACAGAGAGTTACAGAGTTTGGATCAACTGATCCTGATCAATCAAATGATCCATACAGTTCAGAGTTTTAATTATTTATTATGGTTATCAGTGAAGACGACGGAGCTGCAATCCCTTAGCTACATTAATATTGATTTGGATTTCCAAATCGATTCAATTCACGATTCAAATTGATTTTGGATTCATTTAAAGATATCATGCTGTCACAATTTTACTTGGATGTAGAAGATATTCTTAGAACTTAAACTGCAAATATTAGAAGATAATTCAAATTATGGTGGATGAGTAAAAATCAGAATTTTTATATTATAAATTGAACCCAATGAAGTGACATTAATCATTTACTTTTTATTCATCATGACCTGACCAAAAAACTAATAATAATAATTATAAGTTAAATAAATTCAAACCAACAAAAATTTTCAGCATTTTAACCCTTTATATGGGATCTTATTTGTGAAATGTGAGGACAAACAGTTTTTCAGTAACGTTGGGTGAAATATAATGTTTTCACAGTCAATGTTTGTCAGATCAAAGAAGTTCTTCGTAGCCAGAACCATGTAAACAATGAATTTCCAATTTAGAGCACAAAGCGTCCAAAAACAGATGAATTTGTTGCCAAAATAATACAAAGTTGTCTATTTGGTTTCACTTTGGTCTTAAACCAGACAAATGAGGCAAACTGAAGGTTTTCGCCAAAGCGGTTCAATACTTTCAGCAAAGGCCTCAAACATGACGATGTTTTCTGAGCGTTACATTTTCACCACCCAGTGGATTAAACCATGCAAGCGCCAGACATTGCAGCTCCATCGACAAGCTCTGAAAAAGCTTTTTTATAACCAGCAGAAATGGTTGAATTTACAATGCTTTGCTGTAAATATTTCTCAAAGGCAAATTGTTGAGAAATGTTCCCCATTGATGTTACAAATGACAGGAAAATATACCAGACATGCTACATGGATCATTTTGAATCTTCTACTAAAACATTATTTTTGTGGGTTTTTTTCCTTCAGCACAAGAAACTCAGATCAAAGAACTGCAGGATCAGAATCAAGGTATCTCATTATGTTGCAAGAAAAGTTGGATGCAGAGATTTGCAGAAGTATTTACAAATGTTTCTATTTTCTTTTAGATTGTTCTTGATAAACTAACACAAACTAACAAGTCACTGTGAGATAACAGAATATTAACTCAGGATTTATTACTTTTTTGGTTGTAACTGTCATGCATTACTACATTACTGTTATACTTTACTTTCTGTTGAATCAACTAATAAAATCCCACATAAACCTATGGAACATATTTGTGGTTATAATTTGAACAAAGGTGAAAAAACTCAGTTATTGTAAAGCCACTGAAAAAAAACTCATTAATGACTGTATTAAATGAAGCTGATAATAGATAATAGGATTACATTTACCTGAATTATAACAGTTTTAGAAGTAAGAAGAGTTTTGTTTCTCAAAAAAAAAAAAAAAATGTAGGTTTTATTCCACTAAGCAAAACCTCAGATTAATTGCTGTAAAGAAAATTTTTGATTTGATTATTTTCAGCTCAGGCAGCAGAACTGGCTGCTGTTAAAGTCACTGCTGAAAACCAAGTGGAGGCTCTGAAGAGAGAAGCAGAAGGTTTGTTATTATCATTATTCTATAATAAGAATCAGGTTTCAGAATAAATGTGACTATTAATTGTTGAAGTGGAAGTTAACTCATGACTGATATGTGAAAAGGTTCAATTCATTTCCTGTCATGAGACAAGGGCTGGTCCAAAAGGTAAAGAATGTCATGTTCTGTCTGTTTGGGTTTATAAAGTTGGGTAACCCTCCACACATGCATCATATGACCAAAAGTATTTTCTCACCCATTGAAACTGATCAGAATCAGGATCTCTAATCTCTTCCATGGAGACATGTGTATAAAATGAAGCATCTCAGCATGAAGACTGTTTTTATAAACATTTGTGAAAGAATGTTTTGCTCTCAAGAGTTCAGTGAATCAACATTTTCTCTCCATTAGGCAACTAATGACGTCTTGGTGATTCTTTTAGAAAAATTTTTTTCACAACAAATGCTTTGTTTAAATCCAGACAATGAATTTTAGACACGAGAAGACATCAGTAAGGAAACAAAGCAAAACCTCAGAGTAATTTTTATTAATCATGACCTGACCAAAAAATTAATAATAATAATTCCGAGTTAAATTAAACATAGTGTTTAATTTAATATAAATTCTTTGGTAACTTTTTCATTTCAGCTCAGGCAGCAGAACTGGCTGCTGTTAAAGTCAAAGCCAACATGACTGGAAACCAAGTGGAGGCTCTGAAGAGAGAAGCAGAAGGTTTGTGAAATCTGAAATCAACTCTAATGGCAACATTAACATCCAGATCAGTGATTTTCATAACAATCACACTGTTGGGAAAATGTTTGTCATTATGATTATTCTTTGCCATTGACTGAAAATCAAGTTTCAGAATTGTTCTTCAAAAGCAAATGACAACGTAGGGAAAAGCAGCGAAATGTCCATGATCCTTTGCATGTAGAAAAACATTTGCAACTAGTAGTTCTGTTCAATTCAGTTCTGTTCAGAGAAATGAATCAGTGACTGAGAAGAACAGCACATTGTTGGTACATGTGAATCACTTGGATTTATCAGACAGTAGAAACATTTAAACAATATGAACTGTGGAAAATATTACAATGTAAAAATCTTTTCTTCCTTTATAACTGCATTTGATGTCCCATGTCTGTCTGTCTGTCTGTCTGTCTGTCTCTCAGCCAAACGACTGGTTTTCTCTGCCTCTTTATTGGCATCGGGTTATGGACACACTGGACCGTTCAACACCGACATCACTCTGATCTTCAGAAATGTTGTTACTAATATTGGAAATGCCTACAACCCAAATACAGGTGCTGCAATTTACTACTTATATTTTCTTTACAATCATAACTAAAATGTGGTAAATTTGTTATGAAAGTAAAGTGAGAAAAATGTTTATAATTCTGATAATGATTCTTCTCAGGGCTGTTCACTGCACCAGTGAGAGGAGTTTATCACTTTGAGTTCCACATTCATGGACATGGAAGTTCTTCTAATCCTACATCTGCTGTGTTGTACAAAAATGGAGAGCACATCTTTATGGCATGGACAACTCATCCTGCTGGTGATCAAAAAGCTTCTAATGGCGTCTCACTGCTGTTAGAAATTGAAGATGTTGTATTTTTGCGAATGTTGGCCAATTCAAGGATTTATGACAATACAGATCGTCACACTACATTCAGTGGTCATTTACTTTTCACCATCTAAAATAATTATTTTATTACAACATGTGACTGTAGCACAATAAACCCCATCTACAGCAAAGATTAATGATGAAAACGATTCATTTGTAAAATAAAGTTTATTACAGTTTAGTTCATCCAGCCTGCTGGTTTCTACAGCAGCCATAAGTAACAAATCTGTGCTGGAGATTTGATGTTATTGTTGCTGTAATCTAATTATAAATCACAACTTCAAAACTGAACCAGATCGTCTGAATTAAAGTGTCATTTACAACTTTTATGAAAGCTGGATGAGCAAACTGTCTATTTGAATCACATTGTTTCTTTATTTTCCAAATTAAAAGAATAGTGGAAACAGTAATAAGAGGTTTCTGTCAAATGTGTACAATTCTAGTCTATTACATTAACTGTGTGATAAACATATTAAATGGTTTAAAAGATTACATTTTGTGTGTGTGCGTGTGGGGGGAGGGGAGGGGAGGGGGGGGATAGAGAGGGGGGGGGGGTTGTGTGTGTGTGTATCACCTGAATGAGAATTAGTGTGTCTGAGTTTCACCTTTTAAGTTTAAACAATTAAAAACATAAATCTTAACAATCATTGGGTTTAATGCTCTGTGGGTTAAATAACTGAGTAAAGTCAGATTTTTGTGCTTCAGTGAGTTTTACTGTTTATTTTCCTCCACAAAAAGAAAAAAAGTTTTTCTGCTGGACATCTTCATTACATGTAGAAAGTTTGAGTAACTTTCACTCTTTGTTCATTTTTATACATTGAATTGTGTGTAAAATATTGCGTCGCTCATTTATTGACACTTGTAATATTAATATCATTTCATCTACATGCTTAATATGTGAGTTTAATAAGACCTATAATTATTTATACATTGTTTTCTCTTTTTTTTAGCTTCCTTTGAATTATTAGATATAATATTTATTTTCATGCAAGTTGAACCAATAAATTAAAACCTTTGAACTTTAACAAGTTTTGTTTTTTTTTCACTATATGAATTTTAAAATAAACATTCAGAATCACGTTCCTACAAACAGGTTACAATATCCTTTATGATCCTAGATTAGAGTTTTTCCAGGTCAAGTTTAAAGTACCAAGTCTTATCATCTTGTTTCTGATAACAGTATGGTAATAATTAATCAGGAATAATAAACTCTATTCCTATTTAAGTGTCAAACATCAGAGTGGACCTCCAGACACACTGAGGATGGAGATGAAAATGTTTTTTCCGTTGCTGCTGCTCGTCTGCTCCGTCTCTACAGCTGAGCTGCAGGCTCAGTCTGACAATGACATCCTGTCACATGTAAAGCAAACTGAGGGCCAAGTGGGAGAAGCAGAGAGTGTGACTGAGCAGCAGACCTGCACACAGGACATCAACGCTGTTCTGAGAGAGATGAGCGCCTGGGTGGCTGCACTGAAGGTGGAGGTGCAGCACCTGCAGAGAGACAATGAAGGTTTGTTCACAGAGAGTTACAGAGTTTGAATCAACTGATCCTGATCAATCAAATGATCCATACGGTTCAGAGTTTTAATTATTTATTATGGTTATCAGTGAAGACGACGGAGCTGCAATCCCTGAACCAACGGTACCAAGGTACTGATTGTATTAGACCAAAAGCTCTAAATAATAATTCATTTAATAAATTAAGATCATAAACTAAAACATTATTTTTGTATTTACTTTTCTTTAGTACAAGAAACAGAGGTAAAAAAGCTGCAAGATCAGAATCAAGGTATGTAGTTTATTTTTATCACAAGTATTTTCTAAATAATATTTTCTACCCTCCATGATCTTTACTAATTTTATTACTGTAAAATCACCAATCTTAATTTCTTTTGTTTTTTGTTTTTACTTGATAAACTAACTCAGACTAACATTCATTGTGAATTAAAGAAACTTTCATTCAGGATTTTAATATTTTTACGTGTTGTTTTAATAACCCAAATAATTATGGAAAACATTTGTGGTTATAAACAGTTTTAGCAGCAAGAAGACATTCCTGTTTCAATAAAAATTGAGGTTTTTCTTCCACTAAGCAAAACCTCAGATTAATTGCTGTAAAGAAAATTTTTGATTTGATTATTTTCAGCTCAGGCAGCAGAACTGGCTGCTGTTAAAGTCACTGCTGAAAACCAAGTGGAGGCTCTGAAGAGAGAAGCAGAAGGTTTGTTATTATCATTATTCTATAATAAGAATCAAGGTTTCAGAATAAATGTGACTATTAATTGTTGAAGTGGAAGTTAACTCATGACTGATATGTGAAAAGGTTCAATTCATTTCCTGTCATGAGACAAGGGCTGGTCCAAAAGGTAAAGAATGTCATGTTCTGTCTGTTTGGGTTTATAAAGTTGGGTAGCCCTCCACACATGCATCATATGACCAAAAGTATTTTCTCACCCATTGAAACTGATCAGAATCAGGATCTCTAATCTCTTCCATGGAGACGTGTATAAAATGAAGCATCTCAGCATGAAGACTGTTTTTATAAACATTTGTGAAAGAATGTTTTGCTCTCAAGAGTTCAGTGAATCAACATTTTCTCTCCATTAGGCAACTAATGACGTCTTGGTGATTCTTTTAGAAAATTCATTTTCACAAGAAATGCTTTGTTTAAATCCAGACAATGAATTTTAGACACGAGAAGACATCAGTAAGGAAACAAAGCAAAACCTCAAAGTAATTACTGCAGAGACATAATGTTTAATTTAATATAAATTATTTGGTAACTTTTTCATTTCAGCTCAGGCAGCAGAACTGGCTGCTGTTAAAGTCAAAGCCAACATGACTGGAAACCAAGTGGAGGCTCTGAAGAGAGAAGCAGAAGGTTTGTGAAATCTGAAGAAAACCTGTGATTGCAACACACTTGAGATTAAACAAATAAACATGAAACTCCTAACTTTAACCTCTAACTCGCTTTCTCAACCTTCAACCCCCAAAATTTTGCTGTTATATTGGAAACTAAGGCATTATTTTTGTGTTCACTTTTCTTTAGTTCGTGAAACTCAGGTAAAGGTAGAAACATTTACTACAGAAATCTTTGAATTGATTCCTTCTTTTGCAGAAATAAATTGCTAAGAAAAAATCAGCAACATTTGTGGTACAAAATTGAGAAATACCCACAGTTACAAACCATAAAGTCCAAAACTTAATATTACATAAACACATAAGATTACTAAAACTCAAGGAAGCATAATTTTAAGTAAAGTTAGCAATTTTGAACTATCAAAGTGACTGTTGCTAAAATATTTATCATCAAGTCTTGTTCCTACGGCCATATTTACTGCACTAAAATTCTGGCAACCTTAGTTGCAGGCAATTTACTGTAAATTATTCACACTATTTTTACAGTGTTTACATTCCATGAACCTTTACATATTTTGTTACAATACAGTCACAAACTTTAAAACAAATTATTTCTTTTAGGTATTACTTTATAAACGAACACTAATTGATTCAGGATTTTAAATATTTATTTAGTTTTATTTTCCATCCATCCATCCACTTTCTGATTACCCTTCTCCCTAACGGGGTCGGGAGGTGCTGGTGCCTATCTCCAGCTGTGTTCCGGGTGAGAGGCAGGGTCACCCTGGACAGGTCGCCAGTCTGTCGCAGGGCAACACAGAGACAAACAGGACTAACAGCCATGAACCTTTACATATTTTGTTACGATACAGCCACAAACTTTTAAAAAATATATTTTTTTAGGTATTACTTTATAAACAAACACTAATTGAAACAAGATTTAAAATAATTATTTAGTTTTATTTTAATATCCAAAATGCTTCCAACATGGTTATTTAACATTTCCTCTTATATTCAAAATTCACTTTTTAGCTGCTGGACTCATTTTAATTTTCACTTCACTCTTTTCTTTATTATTAAGCAATTATTCACTTTTGTTGCAAAACATAAAACTGCTCCCACATATTCAGATGTTTATATTTTGTAAAATATGACTCAATATGTGCTGGAGATTTACTAGTTAAAAAGAAGGACACAGGATGATGCTGCCACCACCATGTTTCAAAGATGGTCTCCAACAATACATCACATTTTACATGTAACTCAAAAAGTTTTACTTTGAAGCTCCTCACAGAATCATTTATACTGAGATTACACACAGATGAACTTTATTCACTCTTTGTCTTTTTAAAGCAAATGAAAGTTAAGATAAGTCGATAATAATATTTCAATTTGTCAAAACGTATAAAATCCATGACTGATATTGCTCCGCTTGACAATTATACTTCATTGTTGATCTGTCATAAAATTCCTTATAATCCTGTGGAACATGTTTGTGGTGAAAATGTGACAATGTAGAAAAATTCAATTACCGTCAAGCCACTGAAGAAACACTGTTTACCAGTTTAAGAAATAAGAAGACATTTTTGTTTCAAACAAGTTGATTAACTACTACTGTAAAGAAAATCTTTGAATTGATTTAATCTCTTTAATAATCGTCTTATTTCAGCTCAGGCAGCAGAACTGGCTGCTGTTAAAGTCAAAGCCAACATGACTGGAAACCAAGTGGAGGCTCTGAAGAGAGAAGCAGAAGGTTTGTGAAATCTGAAATCAACTCTAATGGCAACATTAACATCCAGATCAGTGATTTTCATAACAATCACACTGTTGGGAAAAGGTTTGTTATTATGATTATTCTTTGCCATTGACTGAAAGTCAAGTTTCAGATTTGTTCATCAAAAGCAAATGACAACGTAGGGAAAAGCAGAGGAATCTCCATGATCCTTTGCATGTATAAAAACATTTGCATCTTTATGAGAAACAGTTTTTTTGATGTGCAGAAGTGACACATTAATTTGAAGATTGAACTAGTAGTTCTGTTCATTTCAGTTCTGTTTAGAGAAATGAATCAGTGACTGAGAAGAACAGCACATTGTTGGTACATGTGAATCACTTGGATTTATCAGACAGTAGAAACATTTAAACATTATGAACTGTGGAAAATATTACAATGTAAAAATCTTTTCTTCTTTTATAACTGCATTTGATGTCCCATGTCTGTCTGTCTGTCTGTCTCTCAGCCAAACAACTGGTTTTCTCTGCCTCTTTATTGGCATCGGGTAGCGGAAACACTGGACCGTTCAACACCCACATCACTCTGATCCTCAGAAATGTTGTTACTAATATTGGAAATGCCTACAACCCAAATACAGGTGCTGCAATTTACTACATATATTTTCTTTACTATCATAACTAAAATGTGGTCAATTTGTCATAAAAGTAAAGTGAGAAAAATGTTTATAATTCTGATAATGATTCTTCTCAGGGCTGTTCACTGCACCAGTGAGAGGAGTTTATCACTTTGAGTTCCACATATATGGACATGGAAGTTCTACTAATCCTACATCTGCTGCATTGATCAAGAATGGAGAGCAAATCTGTATATCATACACAAGTCAGCCTGCTGGTGGTCAAGAAGCTACAAATGGCGTCTCACTGCTGTTAGAAATTGGAGATGTTGTATATTTGCAAATGTATGCCAATTCATGGATTCATGACAACACAAATCGTCTCACAACATTCAGTGGTCATTTACTTTTCACCATCTAAAATAATTTTTTTATTACAACATGTGACTGTAGCACAATAAACCCCATCTATAGCAAAGATTAATCATGAAAACGATTCATTTGTAAAATAAAGTTTATTACAGTTTAGTTCATCCAGCCTGCTGGTTTCTACAGCAGCCATAAGTAACAAATCTGTGCTGGAGATTTGATGTTATTGTTGCTGTAATCTAATTATAAATCACAACTTCAAAACTGAACCAGATCGTCTGAATTAAAGTGTCATTTACAACTTTTATGAAAGCTGGATGAGCAAACTGTCTATTTGAATCACATTGTTTCTTTATTTTCCAAATTAAAAGAATAGTGGAAACAGTAATAAGAGGTTTCTGTCAAATGTGTACAATTCTAGTCTATTACATTAACTGTGTGATAAACATATTAAATGGTTTAAAAGATTACATTTTGTGTGTGTGTTGGGTGGGGGGGGGGGGGGGGGTTGTGTGTGTGTGTGTGTATCACCTGAATGAGAATTAGTGTGTCTGAGTTTCACCTTTTAAGTTTAAACAATTAAAAACATAAATCTTGACAATCATTGGGTTTAATGCTCTGTGGGTTAAATAACTGAGTAAAGTCAGATTTTTGTGCTTCAGTGAGTTTTACTGTTTATTTTTCTCCACAAAAAGAAAAAAGGTGTTTCTGCTGGACATTTTCATTACATGTAGAAGGTTTGAGTAACTTTCACTCTTTGTTCATTTTTATACATTGAATTGTGTGTAAAATATTGCGTCGCTCATTTTCTGGACATAAACAACATTTCTATGTAAGACCCCTGGAGTTCAGTCCAGTGGACTGATTACAAACTAATTAAATCAAAAAACAAACATACCAGTAGGTGGCGCTATCAGTGACAGATTATCATAATTCAGGTTTAGTTTCCTGTTTCCATCCCATAAACTGAAAACAATTAAATTTACAACACCTTAAGTTCAACCCACAAGAGATTTTCTAGAATGAAAATATGATTTGAAAATTGATGAGCTTTGTTTTTTTTAGTTCTAATCTTTAGAGTTTCAAGTTTTTTTCAAATGACTTTTTGGGTTTTTGACTGAATTTCAATCGCAGGTTTATTCTGAAAATATTTATACCTCAACAGAAAAACTATAAAGTTTCATCTGAATCAAGTAAACAACTCATGATTAATGACCTTATTGTAACCATAGAAACAGAAAAATCTTTGATCTTTTAGTAAAACCTCTTTTAATCCATTTATTATAAATTATTGACACTTGTAACATTAATAGCATTTCATTTATATGCGTAATATGTGACTTTAATAAGACCTATAATTATTTATACTTTGTTTTCTTTTGTTTTTCTTCAGCTTCCTTTGAATTATTAGATCTAATATTTATTTTCATGCAAGTTGAACCAATAAATTAAAACCTTTTAACTTTAACAAGTTTTTTTTTTCACTATATGAACTTTTGAAATAAACATTCAGAATCACGTTCCTACAAACAGGTTATAATATCCTTTATGATCCTAGATTAGAGTTTTTCCAGGTCAAGTTTAATGTACCAAGTCTTATCATCTTGCACTGAAGGTGGAGGTGCAGCACCTGCAGAGAGACAATGAAGGTTTGTTCACAGAGAGTTACAGAGTTTGAATCAACTAATCCTGATTGATCAAATGATCCATACGGTTCAGAGTTTTAATTATTTATTATGGTTATCAGTGAAGACGACGGAGCTGCAATCCCTGAACCAACGGTACCAAGGTACTGATTGTAATAGACCAAAAGCTCTAAATAATAATTCATTTAATAAATTAAGATAATAAACTAAAACATTATTTTTGTGTTTACTTTTCTTTAGTACAAGAAACTGAAGTAAAAAAGCTTCAAGATCAGAATCAAGGTATGTAGTTTAATTTCAATACAAATATTTTCTACAGAGCTTTATAAATGTACACGTAAAAGAAAGTCTCCATTATGGAAGTTTATGGAAGAGAAAAAATACCAACAGTTACAGGCTGTAAAATCTACGTTACCATAGAAAATATACAAAATTACCAAAACAGAAATTTCAAGTATTTTTTACATTCCAAATTTCTAATTAAAGATTATTTTTAATGTATGAAAGATAATTGACTAAAACATTATTTGTATGTATTTTTAGTGCAAGAAACTGAAGTAAAAAAGCTGCAGGATCAGAATCAAGGTATGTAGTTTATTTTTACTACAAATATTTTCCACAGAGCTTTGCAGAAGTTTTTACACCCCATTACCTTTACTTATTTTATTACAGTTAAATCATCAAGCTTAAGTTTTTTTTTGGGGGGGGGTTTTACTTGATAAACTAACTCAGACTAATGGAGCTTAGGCGTAAATTCAAGCTGGGAGACAGAACACAGCTGATCTACATCACAGCTGATCCTCTTCAATCACGTCACACCCTGCTGCAGCCAATCAGGATCGGCGCCCTCGCGCGTCCCAGCCAATCAACGTCAAGCGGTCCATTCAAGAAGACGAGCTTCCGGGGATCTGCCTGCTCGTCAGCTGTGCTTCGTCTTTGGTCTGCAGAGCACCGTAGATGTCCTTCCCTTCTTTCACCGCTCAGGTCCAGGAATCATCCCTTGGCCGCCGGCTGCACTTCGTTAATCTTCCAGTGGCTCCTCACAGATCCTACTGCCGCTCCTAGCCTTCCTTCGGCCTCCATCGGCGGCGTCGAAGCGGGACATCTTCCCTTTTCATGTCGTGGTCACATTCCGTCATCCGCCTGGTTCCCTGCTCCGGCTCACGATCGTTCAATTGCTGCGGCTCTCTGACGCTGCCCCGCAGTCGTGCGCAGGTTGTCCCCAAGACCTGCTTTGGTTCCTCCTGCTGTTTCTGCTGTCTCATCATGAACTGGCTCCATTACCTGGACGGTCTCCTCCTGTTCGTCGCCGGGCGTACGCTGCCTCCGGACCACTGCGCTCACTCCGTGTCTTGGCTCCCAGCCGGCTCTTCAGTCTCATCATACCATAACATCTCCCGCCCATCGAGGGCGTTGCCAGGTAAGACGTACCCGCTCCTGTCCGTTCATCAGCCGTTCGCTCAGCTCTCAGTCAGTGCACCAGCACTTCAATGCATGTTCATGTCGCCCCTGGGCGGGTCAATCTGTACGTCTCAGGGACAACCGAACGCTTAGTGCAGTCAGCGAGCTGGGTTCACCTCATCTCAGCCTAATCGGCTCTCAATTCAGCATTTCGTTCCGGCATTCCCCGCCCGGGCCCCGAAGCCCTCGCCTCAGTTGCTGGCTTAGATCGCTCCATTCCGCCAGGAGCCCAGTCGCTCCTCGGCACACCCTGCCCTCTAATCCCAGAGGCCCTCAGGCTGTCTGCCACAGCTTCAGCTTATTTAAACAGGACGTGATTCTTTAAAGTCACGGACGAGTCCGGGTGTTAAGTCTGGTTCGATAAGGGTTTGTTTCTTTGTTGCTTCTTTATATTTAGGGGTTGTGCTGTCTGAGTATCTCGTTTAGCTCCCGTAATTCTGCCTATTTTTCATTTAAATACGCGTAGTTGGTCGATCTCTTGTGCGGCTCTCGCTGGCCACCAGAGAGCGGCGCTTAAGGCAATACATGTTTTCTAAGGCGTCGGGTACGCATCTGCTATTCTACTTCCCGAATTCAGCGCGAACCGGTTTGTCTTAAACTCAAGTTGCCAACAACCTCTGGCGTTAAGAGCCCACGCTCATCGCTAAACAAGCATTTAGCATAATCGCCTAGTCCGAAAATTAATATAAGTCTCACCAGTATTTCAGTAGTTTTTGTATATTCGTGCAATTCGAATGTATTATGGGAATTTAAGTCTCAAGCTCATGATAACGCAGTTCATGGCTTTCTCATGGTCTCCTGCTACCATCTGCTGGACAAATTTAGAAGTGACGATCATGTCAATCAAGATTTATACCTTTCATTCATTTCCTCTTCTGCGTTCCCCGTAGAACTCGCTCAGCCTATGAAAGAAGCCAGGTCTTTGCTGCCTGTCACTACTCACGGCCATTACTCTCCCTGAGCTGATCCATCCTTCTTAGAACCAACGCTCGACTAAATGACACTATATCCCTTCCTGTGTTCAGCACGTAATGGCACAAAATCGGGTTTTGCCCTTCTACTACTTCCTCGTTTACGTCGTCCGGCAATCAGTCACCAAGTCCTGCTCAGTTATGAATCCGTCTCCCTTACTCCTCCAGCTCTCTCAGATACTTTAAGACGTCCAGTTCTCACCTTCATCACTCACCGTCTCGATGATTGTTGATCCAAACTTGTCACGTCCAGTTCTGCCTGTCGGAATTATTTTCTGTGTAGCGCTTCAGCGATCTAGCACATCATCTAGTCTCTCCTCGATCCTTAGTCAAGGTATCTCCGTTACAAAGGGTCGTCTTTCACCAAGCGCCCCCATCATCCGCTTCCTTCCTAGCATCGTTCGAATTTCTTAGTCCGTTCCCAATCCTTCCCTGACCACTACAACCTCCTCATAAGCTTCCCAAACGAAAGGCACTACTATCTTTTCTGCACCCTCAGCCGGTTCAGCATAACCATTGTCCAAGTGTTCCTACAGCTTCTCTCTATCGCTCGGCCATCGGCCATCCCAGCCTTCCATTCCATGTCGGACTGAACTTCAGCTGTGCGTGAAGCTCAACGTTCTTATCCGCTACGTGAGTATCTTTCAAATGCCTGGCGATGGAGCACTGACAGTCTTTAACACATTCTTACCTAGTAATCCGGCAGACCAGCGGCCTTCGGCCTTTAGTTAGCGCTGACACATCATTCACAGCTCAAAACGCGGCTTCCGCCCCTCGGCGGGCCCCCGCCAACGACGCGGCTCGCGCCCCTCGGAGGGCCCCCTCCAACCCCTCCAGCCCCTCGGAGGGCCCCCTCCAACAACGCGGCTCGCGCCCCTCGGAGGGCCACCGCAACAGCAGCGTGGTATTAAAAAAAAAAAAAGTATATACTTTTCTACTTAAGTATTTCGAAGTACAGGGCATTTCAGATACTTTAAGACTTTTAACCAAGTAACATTTCAGTCAGTGACTCCGACTCTACAAAAGTCACATTTTGGAGAGGTTCCTATTCTTTCACCAGAGTGTAGTACTTGTACAACATCGCCCCGCAATATCGCTGCGCCTCAATATTGCAGACAACAGGTCAGCTAGGTCGACCAAGCCCTCTTGCCTAAGCTTCGCCGTACCAACCACCTGCTCGGTGATCCTCAGCCAGGAGCTGTTAATTCTACCTCATACTCTGTCACCATGTCCAACGTCCTCGCCTTCATCACCCACTGTCAACCTTCGTCAGTCAAATCCCCTATATTCTCAGTCGTTCGCAGGAATCAATCTTCACGCAAAACTTTCGCAACCAAGCACAGCACCCAGTCTCCTTTCGAACCCAGCCGCGAAACTTCTACTCTTTGACCTCTAAGCATTCCACCAGGTATCCCAACCGCTGAAGCCTATCACTCTCCCTCTACCCATAAAGCTTATCACCATGCTCCGAGCTTGTACTTTCTCCAACTACGTTAAAGCGCTCCTCTCCTGCGCTCTTCTCCAAGCATCCTATGGTTTCCTCAGGTCGGGCGAGTTCGCCTCAGCTTCTCCAGTCTTCAACCCTCCAAAAGATTTATCAATCTCCGATATCAAATTTTTCCCCGACCATTGCACCCTCCTAATCACGCACTCCAAAATTAAAGGTCTTCGTACTTTTTCTATCGCACGCATAGACGGCCATCTTGCCCCTTCCGTGCCACACTCAAATTCGTGTGCAAAAGGCATCAAATCTATCAGGAAGCTAAACCCCAGTTTATAGCTCCCGTAGGCTTCCCCACGACCGCAGATTCGTTTATCCGCCACCTCCGCCCTATTTTACGAGAAGGCGGCCTTCTCCCCGATCATTATTCAGGAAATCCATTTAGAATAGGCGCTGCTACGTCCGCCCCAGCACAAGGCGTCCCCATCGCTTCCCTCCTCCAGCTTGGCCGCTGGTCATCTTCGGCCTTCACTTCCTACATCAGACCCAATCTCGCAACTGTGCTCGAAGCCCAACGCTCCATGTCATCAGGTGAGCAGTCAGCATGACGATGTAGTTTTTTTTTTTTTGGGCCATTTTTAACCATTAAATTTCAAGGGGAACCGGCCAGACCAGAGATCCTCAGCCTTCAGCCCGGCAGCAACCGGTCCCCCCTCCGCTCCTCATAGCACATCATGCTCATCAGGCCTGTATACGTCTGTCAGTCCCTTGTGGCCCCCGCCAACGATGCGGCTCGTGCCTAGCTGCCCCCGCCAACGATGCGGCTCGTGCCTAGTGGCCCCCGCCAACGATGCGGCTCGCGCCTAACAAGTCTATCAGACTGCAGGCCCCCGCCAACGATGCGGCTCGCGCCTAGTGGCCCCCGCCAACGATGCGGCTCGCGCCTAGTGGCCCCCGCCAACGATGCGGCTCGCGCCTAGTGGCCCCCGCCAATGATGCGGCTCGCGCCTAGTGGCCCCTGCCAATGATGCGGTTCGTGCCTAGTGGCCCCTGCCAACGATGCGGCTCGTGCCTAACAAGTCTATCAGACTGCAGGCCCCGCTTCAGAGCCTGCATACAGTCCGTCGGACTGCAGGCAGCTAGGCCTCGGCCGGCACCCTCTTTTTGGGGGGTAAGACTAGTGAGCTTCGCCGGACTCAGCATCTCCCCCCCGGCGATCTACACTCACTAGTCTTCCGCCGGTTCGAGCGCCAAAGATTTGTTCATTAAAATCCTCTAACTGCTTATTTTTCTCTGTGTGAGTTGATCCAGATTGAAATGGAGCTTAGGCGTAAATTCAAGCTGGGAGACAGAACACAGCTGATCTACATCACAGCTGATCCTCTTCAATCACGTCACACCCTGCTGCAGCCAATCAGGATCGGCGCCCTCGCGCGTCCCAGCCAATCAACGTCAAGCCGGTCCATTCAAGAAGACGAGCTTCCGGGGATCTGCCTGCTCGTCAGCTGTGCTTCGCCCACCTCCTCCCCATCTCCACCTTCAGCCCGATGACCATTCTCCAGGCGCCCTACGCGCTCCTCCATCCAAGGCTCTGCTCCATCATCAGTATTCGGACCGGGGGGGTAAGACTAGTGAGCTTCGCCGGACTCAGCATCTCCCCCCCGGCGATCTACGCTCACTAGTCTTCCGCCGGTTCGAGCGCCAAAGATTTGTTCATTAAAATCCTCTAACTGCTTATTTTTCTCTGTGTGAGTTGATCCAGATTGAAATATTCATTGTGAGATAAACAAACTTTTATTCGGGATTTTAATATTTTTTTCATGTTGTTTTAATATAACAAACAATCATGGAAAATATTTGTGGTTATAAACAGTTTTAGAAGCAAGAAAACATTTGTGTTCCAATATGAATTCAGGTTTTTATTCCACTAAGCAAAATCTCAGATTAATTACCGTAAAGAAAATCTTTGTTTTGATTGTTTTCAGCTCAGGCAGCAGAACTGGCTGCTGTTAAAGTCACTGCTGAAAACCAAGTGGAGGCTCTGAAGAGAGAAGCAGAAGGTTTGTGAAATCTGAAGGAAACTTGTGATTGCAACACACTTGAGATTAAACAAGTAAACATGAAACTCTTAACTTTAACCTCTGACTTGCTTTCTCAACCTTCAACCAACAAATTTACTGTTATATTGGAAACTAAGACATTATTTTTGTGTTCACTTTTCTTTAGTTTGTGAAACTCAGGTAAAGAAACTGCAGCAACTGAACCAAGGTTTGTATTTTATTTGAAGGAGAAACATTTACTACAGAAATCTTTGAATTGATTCCTTCTTTTGCAGAAATAAACTGCAAAGAAAAAATCAGCAACATTTGTGGTACAAAATTGAGAAATACCCACAGTTATAAACCATAAAATCCAAAACTTAATATTTACATAAACATATAAGATTACTAAAACTCAAAGAAACATAATTTTAAGTAAATTTTGACATTTTGAACTATTAAAGTGACTGTTGCCAAAATATTTATCATCAAGTCTTTTACACTACGGCCATATTTACTGCACTAAAATTCTGGCAACCTTAGTTGCAGGCAATTTACTGTAAATCATTCACACTATTTTTACAGTGTTTACATTCCATGAACCTTTACATATTTTGTTACAATACAGCCACACACTTTAAAAAAAGTTTTCTTTTAGGTATTACTTTATAAACGAACACTAATTGATTCAGGATTCTAAATATTTATTTCGTTTTATTTTAATATCCAAAATGCTTCCAACCTGGTTAATTAACATTTCCTTTTATATTCAAAATTCACTTTTTAGCTGCTGGACTCATTTTAATTTTCACTTCACTCTTTTCTTTATTATTAAGCAATTATTAACTTTTATGGCAAAACATAAAACTGCTCCCACATATTCAGATGTTTATATTTTGTAAAATATGACTCAATATGTGCTGGAGATTTACTAGTTAAAAAGAAGGACACAGGATGATGCTGCCACCACCATGTTTCAAAGATGGTCTCCAACAATACATCACATTTTACATGTAACTCAAAAAGTTTTACTTTGAAGCTCCTCACAGAATAATTGATACTGAGATTACACACAGATGAACTTTATTCACTCTTTATCTTATTAAAGCAAATGAAAGTTAAGAGAAATCGGTTGCACTAATATTACAATTTATCAAAACGTATAAAATCCATGACTGATATTGTTCCGCTTGACAATTATACTTCATCGTTGATCTGTAATAAAATTCCTTATAATTCTGTGGAATATGTTTGTGGTGAAAATGTGACAATGTAGAAAAATTCAATTACCATCAAGCCACTGAAGCAACACTGTTTACCAGATTAAGAAATAAGAAGACATTTTTGTTTCAAACATGTTGATTAATTACTGTAAAGAAAATCTTTGAATTGATTTAATCTCTTTAATAATCGTCTTATTTCAGCTCAGGCAGCAGAACTGGCTGCTGTTAAAGTCAAAGCCAACATGACTGGAAACCAAGTGGAGGCTCTGAAGAGAGAAGCAGAAGGTTTGTGAAATCTGAAATCAACTCTAATGGCAACATTAACATCCAGATCAGTGATTTTTATCACAATCACACTGTTGGGAAAATGTTTGTTGTTATGATTATTCTTTGCCATTGACTGAAAGTCAAGTTTCAGAATTGTTCTTCAAAAGCAAATGATAATGTAGGGAAAAGCAGAGAAATGTCCATGATCCTTTGCATGTAGAAAAACATTTTCATCTTTCTGAGAAACAGTTTTTTTGATGTGCAGAAGTGACACATTAATTTGAAGATTGAACTAGTAGTTCTGTTCATTTCAGTTCTGTTTAGAGAAATGAATCAGTGACTGAGAAGAACAGCACATTGTTGGTACATGTGAATCACTTGGATTTATCAGACAGTAGAAACATTTAAACATTATGAACTGTGGAAAATATTACAATGTAAAAATCTTTTCTTCCTTTATAAATGTATTTGATGTCCCATGTCTGTCTGTCTCTCAGCCAAACGACTGGTTTTCTCTGCCTCTTTGGTGACATCTGGTGATGAATACGTTGGACCGTTCAACACCCACATAAATCTGATCTTCAGAAATGTTGTTACTAATATTGGAAATGCCTACAACCCAAATACAGGTGCTGCAAATGACTGGAAATATAATTAAAATGTGGTAAATTTGTTAGAAAAGTAACGTGAGAAAAGTGTTTATAATTTTGATAATGATTCTTCTCAGGGCTGTTCACTGCACCAGTGAGAGGAGTTTATCACTTTGAGTTCCACATATTTGGATTTGGAAGTTCTAATCCTACATCTGCAGCTTTGATCAAGAATGGAGAGAAAATCTGTGTATCATACACACATCAACCTGCTGTTGGTCAAGAAGCTTCTAATGGCGTCTCACTGCTGTTAGACATTGGAGATGTTGTATATTTGCGCATGTATGCCAATTCATGGATTTATGACAATACAGATCGTCACACTACATTCAGTGGCCATTTACTTTTCACCATGTAAAATAATTATTTTATTACAACATGTGACTGTAGCACAATAAACCCCATCTATAGCAAAGATTAATGATGAAAACGATTCATTTGTAAAATAAAGTTTATTACAGTTTAGTTCATCCAGCCTGCTGGTTTCTACAGCAGCCATAAGTAACAAATCTGTGCTGGAGATTTGATGTTATTGTTGCTGTAATCTAATTATAAATCACAACTTCAAAACTGAACCAGATCGTCTGAATTAAAGTGTCATTTACAACTTTTATGAAAGCTGGATGAGCAAACTGTCTATTTGAATCACATTGTTTCTTTATTTTCCAAATTAAAAGAATAGTGGAAACAGTAATAAGAGGTTTCTGTCAAATGTGTACAATTCTAGTCTATTACATTAACTGTGTGATAAACATATTGTGTGTCTGAGTTTCACCTTTTAAGTTTAAACAATTAAAAACATTTAAGAAGTCAGAGATGTTGTATTTTTCCGTTTGCCAAGAAATTCCTAGATTCATTGTTAGGTATTTTCCTCAAACCTACAATAAAATAACCACAGACAACGTATATGAATTAAATATGGTCAGGCTTCTGCAGAAGGAGAAATCCCGATCAACAGCTCCTCCGAGCTGTTCAATAGAGAGTTCTGATCTGCTTTCACGTGAGCTCCCTCTTTATTGTCAAAGACAAACAGTCACATGGTGCAGTCAGGATACAACAGACGTCGTAAAACATTTAACACAAACAGACCAACAACTCAGTTCCAGGTGTGATATCTAATTTACAATCTGAGCCCAGTTCAGCTCTGGGTCAAACTGTCACCTAAGACCGGGTAGATAAACACCAGAGAAGAAGGTCTGAGAACTATAAAGTTTTACTATCTCGCATGAAGACAGTCGTAACCTCCAGGTCAGTTTATACTAAAATCACAATAATACTTTAGACTGAATATAAACTAAAGTAACAACAAAATGATAATATTAAAAAATATCTAACATTCATGATGATCAGAATCATCATACTACATTTAGTGGTCGTCTGCTTTTCACCATTTAGGCAACTGACAGATTTTTATTATGATCTGTGACAGGAGCACAATAAAAAACATCTGCATCAAAGATTTAATTATAAAAATGTTTAGCAGTTGTGGTAAACATGTATTTGACATTTTTGTTGTTGCTGTAGTCTATGACTAATCAGAACATAAAAATTGACCCAGATCATCTGAAACATTTATAACCTTTATGAAAGCTGGATGAGCAAACTGTCGATTTGCACCACATTAGTTCTTTGTTTTCTAGTTAAAAAAATATCGTAGAAACAGTAACAAACGTGTGTGCAATCTATTACATTAACTGTATTACTTGTTAAGAAGTAGAAATGGTGACATTTGTTTTGTTTGTATATATGAAATTGGGTGATTTTAAAGAAACACACAGCAGTGAATCTGCAATAGAGTGATTAAAAATGAGACCAGTCGAGGTTTTGAAAGAGCTAATAGTGGCTGGATCAATTAAAGAGTCTGATATGGGTAAAAAGCATTTTCTCCTCATTATTGAATTGTAATAATCACTGTAGAAACATCAAACAGAACAGTTCTGACTTCTTGCGCCACTGCAGTGCAGAGCTGTGCTGCTGCACCAAGCTGCAGAAATCTACATCTGAAATACCTGAACTACTTAACAAGGAGACGCGCGTCGCCTTTTATGACAGAAAAGAACAAATGCATGTTTATTCTTATACCTGAACAGTTTATCAAACGACTTATAATTTTATGTCGGTATTGTGTGTTTCCCCAGCGGTCGGTGATCAGTTCACACTAACAAGCTGCTCTCTCTCTCAGTGTCTGTGTTCATTCTGTCCTCTGATCTGGGTTCAAGCTGAACTTCCTGCAGTAGGAAGAGTTTATGCACAATATACCACGAATTTGGAACAAACTTCCAGAAAACTGTAAAACAGCTGAAACACTGACTTCCTTTAAATCTTGAATAAAAATGCACCTGTTTAAAGTCTCATTTGAAACGTAATCAATTACAAATTCAATGATTATTGGCTGAAAGTGCTGCAAATATATCTTGTACGGACGGCATTGTCTGCATAAAGTAGGTGAATGTTTATTAACAGAGTTTTTGAAGGGCCCAGTAGGTCAATGTCCATTGGCTGAGCTTTATAGGTTAAATATTAAAAATGTTTTATTTGCATTGTTACGGGACTTGACGTAGTTTTTGATTGTTGATTCTATGTTGCATGACTTTGTGTTCTTGTGTTTATTATGTAAAGCACCAAGGGAGCAGCAGAGAGTGAGGGCAGGAGGTCAGAGTGATGGAGGATCAGTTGATCTGTGACTGAAAACTTCTCTTCCTCCAGCAGCTGCACAATGTGTCGGCGTTATCTGAACGAGAATAAATGTGGTTCAGTTTCACCTTTTAAGTTTAAACAGCTGAAAATTCATATCTGACTGAATGGAGTCAGATTTCGGTGATTCGCTGTTTGTTTTCCTCCACAGAAAAAGTTTGTGTGACAGCAGGACATTTTTCACTGCATGCAGAGAGTTTATAACTTTCACTTCTTGTTCATCTTCATACATTAAATTGTGCGAAGGTTCAGTCGAGTGGACTGTCCTTGCAGTTCACAAACTAATCAGGTCAAGAGTTGGAAGGTAAACAAACATATCAGTGACAGATAATGTGATAATTCAGATGAGTTTGTTTCCTTTTTCAATCCTATAAACTCTAAATAATTAAATTTACACCTTCAGTTTAACATGCAAGAGATTTTCTGTCCATACAGGAATTATTTGTCCAGTTCGTTCAACTAAACATTTTCTCTGGACATTGAGAAGCAGGACAAAGACAACCGAGATTAGATTTTTCACTAGAGGGGAGAAAGAGGACACAGACATCTCCGTCTTAGTCTTTGTCCCCACACTCTAAAGCATTCTCTCTCGAAGTGTCTTTTATTTAATTTATGGTGGTCACTAGTTACATAGACTGACAGCTGCTAATCAGGGGCGGGGCTAAACAGAAACCCAGCTGCCAAACACAGAGTCTCAAGTCTATTCCAATGCAAAGAAAATCCCTGTTGAGGTCTTAAGCTCAGTTCTTGTGCTCCTGGGTCATAAACCAGTGACCCTTAACCTTCCTTCTTCCTGTCAGGAAATCTGGTCCCAATTTGGCACGATCATCGTCTCCTATAAACGTCTTAATCAAAGCACACAAAAAACAGAAATTAATCCTCACAATCCTTAGTATTTATATTTGTAATTCATTTAAACGCATCATCATTGTTATTATTATTATTTATTTATTTGAGAGTTTTGGATTGCATTTAGATTTATTCTAAAAATATTTATGCCTCAACCAAAAGACTATAATATTTCATCTGAATCAAGTAAACAATGTATGATAAGTGACCTGATTCTGACTTTTGAAACAGAAATCTGTGATCTTTAAGTAAAATTTCATCAAAGCCATTTATGGTCAATTACTAAATTAAAAACATTTCATCTACATGCTTAATATGTGAGTTTGATAAGACCTATAACTATTAATACCTCGTCTTTCTTTGGTTTTTCTTCAGCTACTTATGAAATATTACATCTAATATTTGTTTTTTCTGCAAATCGAAGCAATAAATTAAAACCTTTGAACATAAGTTTTTTTTCAATATATGAACTTTTGAAATAAACATTCAGAATCACGTTCCTACAAACAAGTTATAATATCCTTTTTGATCCTAGATTGTAATTTTTTTTATAGGTCAAGTCTAAAGTACCAAGTCTTACATAATTTCTGATAAGAGAATAACAATGCTTAGCAATAAAAGGTCTGGGCTCTTATTTAAGTGTCAAACATCAGAGTGGACCTCCAGACACACTGAGGATGGAGATGAAAATGTTTTTTCCGTTGCTGCTGCTCGTCTGCTCCGTCTCTACAGCTGAGCTGCAGGCTCAGTCTGACAATGACATCCTGTCACATGTAAGGCAAACTGAGGGCCAAGTGGGAGAAGCAGAGAGTGTGACTGAGCAGCAGACCTGCACACAGGACATCAACGCTGTTCTGAGAGAGATGAGCGCCTGGGTGGCTGCACTGAAGGTGGAGGTGCAGCACCTGCAGAGAGACAATGAAGGTTTGTTCACAGAGAGTTACAGAGTTTGAATCAACTGATCCTGATTGATCAAATGATCCATACGGTTCAGAGTTTTAATTATTTATTATGGTTATCAGTGAAGACGACGGAGCTGCAATCCCTGAACCAACGGTACCAAGGTACTGATTGTATTAGACCAAAAGTTCTAAATAAAAATTCATTTCATAAATTAAGATCATAAACTAAAACATTATTTTTGTGTTTACTTTTCTTTAGTACAAGAAACTCAGGTAAAAAAGCTGCAGGATCAGAATCAAGGTATGTAGTTTAATTTCAATAGAAATATTTTCTACAGAACTTTATAAATGAACACGTAAAAGAAAAAATACCAACAGTTACAGGCTGTAAAATCTATATTACCATAGAAAATATACAAAATTACCAAAACAGAAATTTCAAGTATTTTTTACATTCCAAATTTCTAATTAAAGATTATTTTTAATGTATGAAAGATAATTGACTAAAACATTATTTGTATGTATTTTTAGTGCAAGAAACTGAGGTAAAAAAGCTGCAGGATCAGAATCAAGGTATGTAGATTATTTTTACTACAAATATTTTCTACAGAGCTTTGCAGAAGTTTTTACCCTCCATGATCTTTACTTATGTTATTACAGTTAAATCATCAATCTTAAGTTTTTTTGTTTTTTGTTTTGTTTTACTTGATAAACTAACTCAGACTAACATTCATTGTGAGTTAAAGAAACTTTTATTCGGGATTTTAATATTTTTACGTGTTGTTTTAATATAACAAACAATCATGGAAAACATTTGTGGTTATAAACAGTTTTAGCAGCAAGAAAACATTTCTGTTCCAATATAAATTCAGGTTTTTATTCCACTAAGCAAAACCTCAGATTAATTACTTTAAAGAAAATCTTTGATTTGATTCTTTTCAGCTCAGGCAGCAGAACTGGCTGCTGTTAAAGTCACTGCTGAAAACCAAGTGGAGGCTCTAAAGAGAGAAGCAGAAGGTTTGTTATTATCATTATTCTATTATAATAATCAGGTTTCAGAATAAATGTGACTATTAATATTTGAAGTGGAAGTTAACTCATGACTGGTATGTGAAAAGGTTCAATTCATTTTGAATTAAGTTATTTGGGTTTGTAAAGTTGGGTAACCCTCCACACATGCACCATATTTCCAAAATTTATTTTCTCACCCATTGAAACTGATCAGAATCAGGATCTCCAATCATTTCCATGGAGATGTGTATAAAATGAAGCATCTCAGCATGAAAACTGTTTTTATAAACATTTGTGAAAGAATGTTTCGCTCTCAAGAGTTCAGTGAATCAACACTTTCTCTCCATTAGGCAACTAATGACGTCTTGGTGATTCTTTTAGAAAATTCATTTTCACAACAAGTGCTTTGTTTAAATCCAGACAATACATTTTAGACACAAGAAGACATCAGTAAGGAAACAAAGCAAAACCTCAGAGTAATTACTGCAGAGACATAATGTTTAATTTAATATAAATTATTTGGTAACTTTTTCATTTCAGCTCAGGCAGCAGAACTGGCTGCTGTTAAAGTCAAAGCCAACATGACTGGAAACCAAGTGGAGGCTCTGAAGAGAGAAGCAGAAGGTTTGTGAAATCTGAAGGAAACTTGTGATTGCAACACACTTGAGATTAAACAAGTAAACATGAAACTCCTAACTTTAACTCATATCCAGTTTTCTCATGGGAACATGAGACGATCTCCTGAAATGCACTTTGAATCTACTTCAGAAAACTGGTTGATCATTGGTTGCTGTGATGCTTCACATATTTAACTATGTCGGAGAAACTCAGGATTCACCTGGGAACAATTTACAAATTCAGAAAAACAGTCATGTATAAAAAATGTGTTGAGATATGATGACAACATGTTCAAGTATTTTGCCTGTTTATATATGACGAAATTATCCTTAAATGTTGTTGTGGAGATAATTCAACAGAAAATGGTAAAACACATTTTGAACAACAAGACAAAAGCAAATGACAATGTAGGGAAAAGCAGAGAAATGTCCATAATCCATAAACTGTAATAATGAACTAGTAGTTCTGTTCAATTCAGTTCTGTTCAGAGAAATGAATCAGTGACTGAGAAGAACAGCACATTGTTTGGTACTGTGAATCACTTGGATTTATCAGTCAGTAGAAACATTTAAACAATATGAACTGTGGAAAATATTACAATGTAAAAATCTTTTCTTCCTTTATAACTGCATTTGATGTCTCATGTTTGTCTGTCTGTCTGTCTGTCTGTCTGTCTGTCTGTCTCTCAGCCAAACGACTGGTTTTCTCTGCCTCTTTATTGGCATCGGGTTATGGACACACTGGACCGTTCAACACCCACATCACTCTGATCTTCAGAAATGTTGTTACTAATATTGGAAATGCCTACAACCCAAATACAGGTGCTGCAATTTACTACTTATATTTTCTTTACAATCATAACTAAAATGTGGTAAATTTGTTATGAAAGTAAAGTGAGAAAAATGTTTATAATTCTGATAATGATTCTTCTCAGGGCTGTTCACTGCACCAGTGAGAGGAGTTTATCACTTTGAGTTCCACATTCATGGACATGGAAGTTCTACTATCCTACATCTGCTGTGTTGTACAAAAATGGAGAGCACATCTTTTATGGCATGGACAACTCAACCTGCTGGTGATCAAAGCTTCTAATGGCGTCTCACTGCTGTTAGAAATTGGAGATGTTGTATTTTTGCGAATGTTGCCAATTCAAGGATTTATGACAATACAGATCGTCACACTACTTTTAGTGGTCAATTACTTTTCACCATGTAGGCATCTATGCATGCAGTTCTTTTCGTCCGTTAACCATAATTTTCACTCCTCAGCTTTAATATATCTTTTCCTTAATTAAAAACTATCTTTATGTAGACAACAGTTACTGCTTCTTTTTATTTTTAATTATTATTTTAGCTACGCATTAAATTACAGAATTATCAAAGTGATGTGACATCACCTGGTCTGTCCGATGTCGGTGAAAGAATGAAGTTTGAAGAAAAATGACAAAAAAACCTAATAAATCTGACCTTTTCAACTCTCCGTTGCCTTGACTCTCACCCACGTCTCCTGCAGAGAAAATCTTTGGGGAAATCAGGAGTGCTCACTCAGTCCAATAAATACTCTCACGCCTTCTTGTCACACTAATTCAGCGTTCTCAATAAAACAGATTTGTCTTCTGTTCACAACAGACAGTAACTAGTGTTACATAATGTGACATCCTGCATTATGGATGTTTTACTTGAAACATTTTTATTCTTTTGTCAAGGGTTTGAAATTTACTGATCTACTTTCAAAGACAATGGACTGTGTTTTATTTAGACTTTTCTTTTTTTTTTTGCTTCCAATACTTTTAGTTTCATCCAGCACTGATGTGACATTTTTCCTTTAAACAAACTCAACAGCAGCAAAACAATCCGCGCCCTTTACACATAAATATATGATTTTATTGCAAAATACGAATCAATTTACAACAAATAAACAACTATTGCTGGACTATATTTATCAAACAAGAAGCTTGCACACATCATTTGCCCCTAAAACACAACAACCAGCTTTTGCTTCATTATTACAGTAAATTCATCTTGTAATTCCCCAACAGCTGGATATGTGTGAAATGTTTTCGCTCTCTTTCATATGTACACAATGGAAAGTGGGACTTCGTGATGATTTCTCAGACAATGTATATTTTGGATCCATAAATTAAATCTACTTCATAAATCGAGATGTAGTAAAAAAAAAATATCATTCAGCTGTCCTCGATTGCACAAGACCAGACGCTGTGGTCGGTGTTTTCCCCGATGAGGCAGGAAGTAGAAGGACTTCCTGCTCTTCGTCAGGCTCTGGTGGACTTTACTCTGCAGTAGAGCGTCATGGAGACAATCATGGCACAAATCTGAGGAGAGCGGACATAACAATGTGAGTTCACCAACGCTAAATGGATACAATATTAGAGTATTATCGTTACGCTAAGAAAATGTTAAAAAAAAAATAAAGAAATGAAATTACGAGAATGAAGTCAGAAGGTTTTGTGAATAAAGTCATACAACAATAAAGCCGAAATAATATGAGAATAAAGTTTCAGTATTGCAACCTTGTTCTTGTAATATTATGAATTTATTCTCGTAATTTTATTGTTATTACTACTGAGTATGACCCTTATACTACTGAGGGAATAAAAGTACTTAATTAATACTGAATAGATACAACACTGTAGAAGGACCACACTAAGAAAATAATATGTAAAAAATGTAAAGTTATATTTTTCTGACTTTATTCTCGCAATATTGCAACAATTTGCCTATTTATTCTCGTACGAATTTGTTCTCTTATTATCTTTCTTGTCAAAATTCTACAATACCATGACTTTCTTCTCGTAATTTCTTTTTTTTATTATTATTTTTGATTAGCATGGCCCTACTCTGTTGTATGACAGTGAAGTTATCGCCTCTAACCGGTCTTACCTCCAGAGCAGCGATCCCGAGAGCAACGCCCACAATCACCACTGTGTTGCTATCAATCAACTTCTTGATCTTTATGAAGCAGCCATCTGCTTTCTTTTGAAAGTACAACACAGAAGGTTTAATTTACAGCTGACATTGATGAATAGTAACCAAATAACTAAATGTGATATTGTCTCCTAGACTCAAAAGCATTACTTTTGCTTCAGCCGCAGATGCGTTACATGGGGCGTTGTTCACGCAGCAGTGTGGTGGATAGGTATTGTTGGACGCCATATTATACGGGGAACCCGTAAAGTCTGTGTAGTTGTAGAATCCACAACATTTTAACTGCAGAGAGAGACAGAGAGCGGATTAGACGAGCTGATCGGAAACGCCGCGAAGGGGAACTCATCGTGGGTTCAGACGTCTCGTGTACCGCGTCCATGGTGGTATTCCACAGTCCAGTAATGTCAGGATTTCCGCCATAGTCTTTCTGGATGTTCTTAACTGCTGCTGTGCCAACCTCGTCAAACAGTTTATCTGCCTGACAAAGACACGCAATATTAGATGTTACCACCCGTCCACGTTATCTTGTTATGAAGGCCGTTTTGTCTGAACTCCGTCAGTCACTTACCACAGGTCTGAAAACCAGAATGACCACCGCTCCCGCCACCTCAGCGATGAAAACCAGCAAGACGATCATGAAAAACTGGAGAGAAGATCAGATTAAAAGATATAAGCAATGGCAGTTTATTGAAAAATATAGATATACCTATAAGTTAAAACCTGCTTGGAGCAGATATTTTTATGCTGGTAACTTGACTTTTTGAAATAAAATACCCACTCTGGGTTGTAATTGCCTCAGATATTGGAATGACAACATTCCAGTTGAGTTTCATCCAGTTGTGAGTCTGAAATACTGTAGGATTTGCTAATTGTTGTGATGTTAATCACTATTAGTGTAGCTGGCTTACCTTAGCATTAAGATGGAGTTTGGCTGTGTTTTCAAGAACCTAAGCAGCATTGATGACCAGCCTTTTCTGAATTCATTACAATTCTGGTTGTACAACTCAACTAAAACTCAATCTAAATTCTCATTAAGCACTCCAACATTAATTTGCCTGTGCTTTGGTACAAATACAAAATTAAAAAACCCATAATTGATTGTCAATTCTGGTTCTGGTAGGCAGCTGTGAGCAGTTTGGTGGTGCAGATTTGGTACAGTGAAGATACCGGAGTTCTAGTAACAATCACTGCTACCTAAACGTGAGAAAAGGAATATTTGAATCTTAAATTCATTATGTTAATCATGTGTTTGCCTTATTTCCCTGAACTTCATTCGGGTTTTAAACAGACAATACAGAGATTTGTTGAACAGGTGGCTCTAACTTAGTTAAATAGAAGTTTGAGAATGCAAAAAAATAAAATGCAAGAAAGTGGATGTGGAGAGCATATCCGGTGAAAATGTACTGACATATGCAGGTGGTTTAAAAATAATCTCTGTAACTAATTTTTTTTAAATCTAGTAAATATTTAGCAATTATTAAGGCACCTGTGCTTTGTGCCTTAATGTCCGTTTTAAAGCTAGTTTTAAACTTATGCATGCCATTATATCGCCATCTACTGGAAACATTGGTTATTGCATATAGCGATCCACCACATAAAATAAATCAGATGAGGAAATTTCTTGTGAAGGACATCTCTCCTCTAAAGTTTATGAAAGTTGTATATTAATTCTGTAACAACAGGCCAACAAAATGTGTATGAAGGCTACACGGTGGAGAAGTGATTAGCACTGATGCCTCGTAGCCAGAAGGTCCTAAGATCGAATCCTGAACAAAGAGACTTTCTCTTTGGAGAGTCTATCCAATTCTCTTTGCTTCCTGTTACAGTCCAAATACATACATGCCAAAAGTATTTGACTCACTTAATTGCGCTTAGTAATGTGTGTTTGTGTGTGTGCACACGTGTGTGTTTGCGCATCCAATGCTCGACTTTGTTGACCTGGGTGTACCTCTCGACCATTCCCAGTGATGGGCCTGGGTAAGCAGGTATTTGTAATTTGATTTCCTCTACATCTGAAGGGTTTAACTTTCCCCTGTTTAGAATAGGCTAATTATTAACTATTGTTCTTTCTTAGACTGTCAGAGTGAGAAATGAACAGGAAAGTATATCTGAGGCATCATGAGGTAAACTTTACTGAAGAGTTTTATGAAACATAGTTTGAATCTGCCCAAAGCAAAACTGTGCTTATTTTTATGGTTTGAACACTTTTCGACCGCACTTTTTCCTTCCACTAAACCTTCCATTAATATTGTTAGACAAAGAATTCTGTGAAAATCAAGATTTGATTTTTACACAAATCAAAGCTGTACTTATGGAGGCCATCAGTGGCTTTTTGCTGGACAGCTGTGAAGTTACATACTTTACTCATGATTATATTAATATAACTTTTCTATATAAATATTCCACTTTTTATTTGTGTAAAGAAACATGAAGATATTTTAAGAAGCAGAACTTCAGGGCATTGTTAATTGATACGCCAATATCTCAAAGGCAAACACAAAACGTGTCACTTTTTAAATTGTGCTACTGTAATAACAACCTTTTGATGAGATATTAGTTTATCTCATGCACTTGTGTCATTACATTTATCAAATTTCCTCAAATTTGACAAATTTTTACCACTTTTCCGATGGTAAAATTTCACAAATGGGACTTTTGATCTTTTGATTTTTTTGAAACGTCACCATTTCTGAAGTAGTAAAATTTGACCAACGCCTACCAGCAGCAGCATGCACTTGCTCTCCCTGATGGCCCCGCAGCATCCCAGGAAGCCGATCACAACCAGGAGGGCACCGATGGCGATCAGCAGGTATCCCACGTTGAGCACCTGATTAATTTGCGGTGGGACGTTTTCGATTTTTCCGAGGAAGTTGAAAATGGAGCCGCTGTCAACCTTCACCCAGATCCCCACGCCCAGGATGGCGATCCCGGCCAGCTGAACGGGAAAGAAGATGGAGTATTAGAGGAAAACTTAGACCGCCTGAGATAACGAGGGCACAGAAAAAAACAAAACAAAAAAAAAAACATGCAAAATTATTTGAATACTGGAACACTACTGAATGCCCACTGTGTCGTTTAATTTTGTCTGTGAAAACATAAGGGGAATTAAAGTTTCTTACTGTAAGGTGGAGTAATTGTTAGCATCAATTGCCTAAGATCCTAAGCTGCATTGATGACCAGCCTTTTGTGTATTCATTACAACTCTGGTTGTACAACTCAACTAAAACTCAATCTAAATTCTCATTAAGCACTCCAACATTAATTTGCCTGTGCTTTGGTACAAATACAAAATTAAAAAACCCATAATTGATGTATCTTTAAATTGTCTGTATCTTTAAACTTAACATTTTAGATTTAACTCTTTATGTTCTTTGCAAATCATTCTGAATGAACTATCACATCAACGTTATGCACAGTTAAATTCATTAAACCAGAAAATACGTCTGGACGAGTCTCATTTAACAGATCAAAAGTCTCTTTTAAAAATAACGACCTTTCTTCAGATATTAAATATACTTTTCATTTAGCCAAGAGCTATGGTTTTTTAAAATATTTTGTTATCGGTCTGGTGTAATATTCTAATTTAAAATTTCATGTTTTTATTAGCTGTAAGTGGAAAATCATCAGATTTAAGAGGAATGAAAGTTTTCAAACATCCATTTGTGTGCAGTTAATCTACATAATGTGTTTGAATTTGTGATAAAGTCCCCCAAATAAACGGGATTTTCAATAATATTCTAATTTGTTGAAAACATACTGCTAAATGAACAAAGACAAAAAAAACCAAGAAACAAATCCCAAGAATTAAGACATAAACAAAATCCTTTTTTCCACAGAAATAATATCCTGATTAAAAACTAAACTTTTCTGCCACAACACTATTTTTTTCTACATTGGGTAATTTTCCTTACAGTTTTAGTTTCTTTTAATGGATAGAATATGAGATCCATGCATTCTTCAACATGGCCACTAGATATTAGTATTTGCTGCACGCTGCTCCTTTAACTTCCTGGAAACCTGAGAGGATTCGGACCGTAGACACTGTATCTGGCTGACTCAAGCTAAATGTTTGGTTAAAACTCACTAATCCTTTCAGATCCTGTGATGTCCTATTCAAATCCTCGTGGGTGTCTTTCACAAGGAGCTATTGATGAATGCGTGTCAAATATATATGTCCTCTCTCTATATTTGCATAAATTTTTTGTAACAAATAGTTCAGACTGTGGCTTTGTGTGACACCACATGGAGGTCTCACACATGAGGACTTTCCATTGATTTTCATTCACTACAGTTACACTTATCCTATCTTTAAGCAAAACCACACCATAGTCCTAAATAAAACCCCTGACTCAAAAACAGAGTTGCCCAGGCTATGGTCCCCACAATGTAGTATGTGTCTGGGAAGTTGTCCCCACAAGGTATTTAAAAACAAACACACACAGACCTGAGTTTTAGTATGATAAGTCGAAGCTACTTACGAAGATGATGCCATTAAAAGCAATCATCATGGCTTTGAGGAATCCGAAACACCCCATTTTTTCAGCTGATGGTTCCTGTAATGGCAGAAATGAAAGATGTTTTGTCATTACTCAAAGTTTTATTCATAGACTTGTCAGTATTCTCATCACATGACGACAGAATATGAGCATTTCAGTATGAATCATTTCATCTGTGCGCTACATTGTTGAACACTTTGTGATAAAGTGTGTTACATTGTTGAACACTTTAGACTTTGGGAGAGGCTCTTTCTGCTGGGAGGTGGGAGAAACAGAGCAGGGATAGGAAATTATGTCATAATTCTGCTTTTTATACCTTGTTTGTGAGCTTGATAACAATTTTTAGAACTTCAGTCGTTTCTGTAGCGTTTATTACCCTCCCTTACATGTGTGGGGGAGGAAGGATGACGATACAGGAAGTATGCTTCTCTGTTTTCTCATATTTTTTTTAAACAAGATCCTTCAGAAGAAATATATTTTAGTTTTACAGGGTGTTTTTAGTCAATAGGATGGGAAATGTTTGTAACACCATTCTATTTATAGTGATTTAAGTTTTGATCTTTTTAAGCCAGTTAAGTTAGAAATAACAACCTCTTCCTAATACAACCAGATTAGATTACCTTAAGGAAAACAGGAGTTTGTTGTTTGGTCTTTCAGCGGAAAGCCCCGAGTTAATCATGCGTTCACTGGCCGGGTGATGTACAAAATGTAACCGGCTGTTACCTGGACAGCCAGCAACTCCAGCAATGTTTTCCCTGCTCAGGAACCTTTCCTGCTTCCTCGTGGTCAGCATTTGAACTCTGACACCAAGGAATTAGCTAAGTGATTTATTAACAAGTAAAAGTCTCTCAGAGTAGCTCAGCAAAATCTGGAAAGTGACCCACAAGCAGAACCACACACACACACACACACACACACACACACACACGCACACACAACCACACACACACACACACACACACACACACACACACACACACACACACACACACACACACACACACATAGGAGATGCAAAAATGGAGCCGCTTGTGGTTGAACACCTTGAAACGATGTACCAAGAATGAAGCATAGTTTGCAGTTGCTTGTCTTGTATGGGGAAAACCGAACCGTCTCTGACTTCCATCAAAAACAAAGATGGAGAAATCTCAAAGGGCTTCATTCAGAGGCAGGCAGGTCCCTGGAGACAAAGGATCATTGTTGGATGGATCCCTCACCAGGCCACCATACCGACACTGCAAAACCATCGACCGCATGAACCCCGTCCATCCACAAGCCTAAAGTCTCAAAGTTGGGGACTGAGTGACTCACCTGCTGCAGTAGATGTCTGGTGAGAAGCTCTGTGGTTTGCTTCAGTCTCTACCTTCACTACTGAGGCTGGTTGGCTGCTGCTGTGGGAGAACACAGTGAGGTCACAGGAACACAAGATCGCTCTGTCTTCAATAAATGACCCAGAATATGTTCACTGTCTCCTTAGTTTCCCTCTGCCTTTGTCACTCTGTTGCACACAAAAGAGCTTCAGGAGTACTTTCTAAGCAGTATCATGTTATTTGGAGGCTACTGACTGGTTATAGCTACCAGGAAGGGGAGGGTGGGTGCAGTGGGTGTGACCAAAAGCAGCTGAGTAATAACACATCACCATGGAGCTGGACCTTTTTAACTCCTGAGGGAGGGAATGAAGGAGGAAGGGAAAACTCACCTGTGCGCCGCCACACAACGTCACCTGTAGCAGGCAGGCAAATGACCACAGGGCGTGCGAGGGAATGCAAACCATGAAAACATATCTGTCTGCTTTCCAGCTGGTTTCATGAAACACCGCTTTAGTTTCAGTCAGACGTTTTAGGACATTTTAGATTTTGAAAAGAAAAGAGGAGTGTTGGTGGCTGGTGCTCAGTTCCATCTCCACTGGTTGATGAAGTAATGATGTCATAATGGATATTGGATTGGATAGCAAGTTGTCTGTTTTTTTTGTTTTTTTTTTATTACTATTGAATGTACCCACTGTCCTCTGTCTCTTATCTTTTTTTTGTTCAGCTCTCTCAAAACTAGCTAAATCAACTGCCATTTAAAATCCCAATCAAATTGATTTGAATGGAATTTGAATTGAGAATTAAACTTACTGTCCTCAAAAGTGAAAATGGCTTTGGTTTTGAGCTACCGCTATATAAATATTACTTTGAATTCAACATCATGTGTTGCAACAAATACAACATCATCATTGTCTGTATCCAAAACCGAACAGAAGAAACTGGTCAAACCGGTTAAATTAGCAAACACAAGCTGGGATGGGTTTCTCTTTTCACAGTGAGGAAGGGGAGGGGAAAGAAAGAAAGAAAGAAACTGTTTGCCTTAATGACGTTCTGGAGATTTGATAGTACCTCAGGGCAGGAAAAACCTTCTGTTTGATGTTATTATCCACGCCATGAAGAGTTCTGCTCTTTGCTTCAGTGTAATTTTAAATCTGACTGAAAGCTTTCAGAATGATTTAAATTTGCAAAATGCCAAAACAGTGAAACAGTGAGATAAAGAGAGAGAAAGAGAGAGAGACAGAGAGAGTAGATTTGTTTTGGGGATCCTTCAGTGACTTACTGAACTTTAGTCCGTTCCTCCTGACAGAACATGAGTAGCTGAGTTCGGCCGGTCGAGGTTAGAGTTTTGTGACATTGACTTTGTGTAACTAAGACATTTTGATGCCAATTATGAGGGAAACATTTGCGGCCAGTCAGTATCATTACTGCTGGGTTGATGTTCTCCAAAGGGTCATGAAACTTATTTGCATAAACTAAGATTTTTGTTATCTGTGATCTGGCTTTTTTTATTATTATTATTATTATTATTATTATTATTATTATTATTAATGTAATGACTTCTTCATCTCTTCAATCTTTTGTTTTGAATTTACCAAAACATGTTCATGTCTGGAACAAAAAACCCGTTTATTTCTTGGGACAGTTTGGTCACTGGATGCCTCTTGGTTTTTGTGCTTGGATGCGATTGTCGGTACTGATGAAAGTGAAATGTACCTGCATCTGAACCGGTCTCATGGAGGTCCGGCAGCTCTTTGTCTGATTTATTCAGACTTTCTCTTGTCCCATGATGTCACACCAGGAAGCAGCGTTTCACATGTGCCGTCTTAAACACATCAGGCGACTCCCAAGTCGCTTAAAGTCACAGCTGTGTGAAAACGTCTGAATTTGAAGGAAGCAACACATTCAGTCATTTGCAAACTTTTTTTGTGAATCCTAAAATAGAAAAAGATTTAATGGTAGACAATGGGGGGAGGGGGAGGAGTTTGTGTCTAGTTTCATATTTTGAAGTGAACCATCTGGTTTGACTTGGTGAAAAAAAAATAGGCTCTTTAAAAATAACTTTAGCCTCCTGGACTTTAACCTCACTGTTATATTTTAACTTTTTCAACTCACAAATGCCATTGAACTCCATAAACACGACCATTAAACTAAGTGGAAAAAAACCCCCAAAACCTTAAGTTTTATGTCCATGCTTCCTCATCATGTGATGAAGCCAAACAATCAAAACCTGGAGAACGTCACTCACAGAATCATGACTCCTCTTTCAGTGGAGGTGCAGCTGGCCCAGCGCTTCTGTTTTCACACTTCCCTCAATTTAAGGCGTATTTAGAAAGAGCTAATAACAGAAAAGGCTTTTTTTTTTTCTTGGAAGGTATTCCTAGTCCAGCATCTTGTGTTCAGTCGTTTCTCTTTAGCTGATGAGGGCACCGAAGTAGAGCTTACTGTCATCGACTTTCATCCATTTTCCTTCAATAAGTCCCTCCAGTTTCTCACAAAAATTCACGCGAAAAATTCAAAAACAGATCCCCTCATTTTACTGAAATTCTTTCCTCAAAATTGTCCAGAAACATTGGGTTTAAGTGACTGCAGCATCAGCTTTACTTGATGTGAAGTCGTAGTCGTTGATCGATGCAGCTATTAACAAAAAGTCAAAGTGACACCATATATCAGCGCAAATATTGCAAACATTTGTCCCACGCATTTCTAAATTAGCAACACAAAATGTGTGATTTTGATTGCAGAAGAAACACAAAAACAATCAAACCCTGGATGGACTGATCAGTGTGAAAAGATGTTCGATATTTAATTTTAAGGAACGCGTGGTGAATGCTAAATCAACTATTTATCGATAATTTAACAATTTGAATGATTAATACGTTTTGGCACCACTGGCCATTTTGTTGTAAGCTTGCAAAGCATTTTAACTCCAACGTCCACGACTGGTCTTATGATTTCAGGAGTCACAGCAGATTTAATAGTGTTTTTAGTGTCTATAAGGACAAGATGAACACATTCCCAGAAGATTTATGAGATGAGACAGAAGCACACTGCACCATGTAAAGGAAAGGAAAAATATTTAGAGTTAAAACATTTTATACAAAAACTCACAACGTACCGAATTGATGCCAAGAAGCAAAAGTGCATTTATTTAGGTGGTGAAACAGAGAAAGAACAAAACGGATTTTATTGCCGTTTTCCTGAGACGAGTTGCTGAGCTCATAAATTTATGGGATACACCGACGCTGCTCATGTGACCCAGCTCTTCCCTCTAAATAAACATAATGCAACGGTCACAGTGCTGAAATCACAGTCAGGCCCAGAAACAGCCATTGGTTGTTCACCAGACCTTCATCACGCTGCTTTATTGACCAGCCGAAACCTTATCTAGTTGGATATTTAAGAATATTAAAATGATGTTTTAGCTGCTCAAACACAAACAATACGACAAAAAATACAAAATCCTCGAATTTCTAGAAATGCTTAGACCTCACTTCATTTTTGACAATAAGGCATCCCGGCGTGGCCTCAAAAGAAACAATCTGAACCACCCTCCCTGAACGTGATACTTGCTGTCACAGTCAATAAGGTAGTTAGTGGTTATTGAGAACATGTGGAACCTCCTTCACATTTTTTCCTGTGGAGATCCCACAGCGCCTTCTGCTCTGCGACAGCCTGTGTCCCGCACCGCGGCTGGTCCGCCTCATTTCGGCTTCATCCCAGCGATGAGATGCGTTAGCCGTGCGGATCTGAGGAGAGCCTCCGTTTGCCGGCGAGTTGCCACCCCACACAACCCACGATCTCAGGTCGCCTGCTTTTCCGGGTGGCTCTTCAGTTTATGGAACTTAACGCTGTCCAGCTTCTCGAACCTCTTGTCGCAGAACTCGCAGGTGAAGTTGTAAAGCGCCTCGGGTGTGTGCTTCTTCATGTGCCAGTTCAAGGACGCACGCTGGCGGCACTGGTAGCCGCAGATTTCACATCTTCACACAGGAAGGTGGAGGGAAAAGAAAGACAGGACTTATGATCATGTTGGTGGAATCTGAGGTGCTTTAGAAAAGTATTCAACCCCTTCATCTATTCTTTTGACGTTCTGTCACTCTGCTTTAACATTCTGACAGGCTACAACTGTAAACATCCATGTAGTTTATGGAGACACAGAATGTAATAATAGAAACATTATGCTCATTATAAATGTCCCTGTTCAATCATTTTTGGTCTGGATAAAGTAGGAGAGGCAGATTAAGAAACTGAATGAGTATAACAGGAAACATTGAAATATATTGGATCTAAACTTGCAGAAAAACAAAAACCCAAACAAATATCACATCCTCTTTTTGAAGTATGTGTTCCAAATGTTCACTATCCAACACGACTTCAAAGGTCACGTTTCCATATATTGTACAGAGATCGGAGATCAGCCGATGCATCAGAAACTGATAGCTTCAGCCTCGGCTAAGGTCCCTGATTGACCGGCCCGCGTCTGCATGCGAGTGCTTGACTATAGCCACCCAGGTGTTGCCAACTTATTTACTTTGCTATATTTAGTCATTGTGAGACAAAAAGCAATCTGTGTTGGCAAAAATGGGAATCAGCAGGTCAGGCCTTTAGCGACCTGCCAGAGAACCAGCCCTGCCTGGTCGTGTGGCGTTTCAAAGTGTTCACTGTAACAGCAGGATGTGACGTCGGTAACTCACTGGAGCGGCGTTTCTCCTGTGTGTGTCCGCCTATGGACCTCCAGATGATTCTTCCGCTTAAATGACTTCCCACACGTCTCACAGATGAAATCTCTGACCCCTGCAGACACACACACACACGCACACACACACGCACACACACACACACACACACACACACACACACGCACACACACACACACACACACACACACGCACACACACACGCACACACACACACGCACACACAGAAATACATGTGCTGGTCTTTCAGGAAGCAGTTCATCAGGACGTGTCTCTCACGTGTTCACAGCCCACCTGAGTGGATGATCATGTGACGGTGCAGGTGGTTGGACAGGTAGAACTTCTTCCCGCAGCCGGGGTGAGGGCAGACTTTGGTTCTTCCTTTCCTGTGAACTAGATTCACGTGATTCTAGACAACAAATGGTTACTTTTAATCTCCCCAGGGAACTCCAGGTAATCGATAAAGAAACAACGGGTTGTGGCGTTTTACCTGAAAACTGCTGATGGCCACGTAAACTTGACTGCAGCCTTCGTAGGGACAGTGGAACATCTTGAGCATG